CGTGAAATTAAGAGTTAAAACGTTTTGACATTTTCTTTCTACAAATATAATACTTGTATAATAATTTTATCATTGTTAAAATTTCTCGGTACAATATACAAAAAGTTTGTAAAGTGTGATATTTCTTTTCTTTCTACTCTAGGGAAAAAAAAGACAGCAAACCATTTTGGGACCCACGATTAGTAATCGAATTATTTGGATTGTTCGTAACTCTACTCTGGGAAAAATTTTGACCGTTTCTTTGTAGCTAAGCAACTTAACATTTCGGTTAGTGCCTCTTGAACGAAAATTATCTTTGCGTTATTGAATATCGACAGAACTAATTGAGAGAATTGATTAGTACAGCTTCAAAATCGTGGATATATTATAGATAGAATAGCTAATTGCGATTTTTAGTTACGCGGGGTAAAATTCGTAAAAGATTAGAGTCACGAACAATCCCAATAATTCGATTACTAATTGTGGGCCCCAAAATGGGTTGCTAACTGTCCTTCTTTTCCCGGAGTGTCCGCCGTTGAAAATGTTGACCGAAGTTGATTCGGTTTTTACATCAAGCTTCTAAATTGCAGGTAGATATTTGGCTAAAGAAATCGTTGGAATTTCTGAGTTGGAATTTCTCCGCGATTCTCGGAGCCTTGAAAATATAAGTATAATAGCCTAAGTGGTCGAATTGATGAGACGCCCGCCTAGAGAGTAAGTCCAAACCCTGGCTGAGGTAATATTTTTCGCAATAAATTTTCTGCATTAAAACACTGGCCGGTTAATGTCGACTAAAAAGCTTGATCACTGATACTGGTAACTTCAAGAGATTTCTATGCTTGAAAATATCTCTCGCATTTTTCACGTTTGGGGACTAGTGCCATGGTTCGTTTCTCACGAGTAGCACTCTAAATCGTCTTCTTACGAACAAATTTGCGGGACGTCTTGCTAACGTGCTTCAATGTCAGGGACGAGTTATTTTTGCATCCTCGCGAAGGTGCGCGATAAGGAGTGCGTGACAGCCAAAGCGTAGATGGAATAAAGAACGTCATAAAGCTAATTGGCCACTGCCTATTATCACGTACCGATAATGTAATTGTTCGCTTATCGCCGCTTCCCGTGCTCCAACCTTTCGTTCCTTACAGTCCAACCGCGTTAGATTAGATTACAAAGTTTTTTTTCTGCTTTGTCATGCGAAGATACATCATTATTCCCCGGAGATTTGATCGCTAATCGATGGATGTGACGCGGGCGTTTCTTGAATCAATTACGTGGCACAGTGTAAGCCACAAAGAACGAAGTACGGGAGGAATAAGAAATGTGATCGGCGTGCAAACTAGCTCGGCTCCAAAAGAGTCTTCTTCTCCCGCCAGTGTTTACGATAACGGAAACACAGGCGGTGAATACAAAATTTATATCAAGATCGTAATTGCGACACGTGCGATCAAAGATGATAATCCGCACTAACTGAAGTATTTTGAAACGCGCGATAGGATGACGACGAGGATTCAGAAGCTTTTCCACACCCACAGAAAACACTTCCGGATCCAATGCTATTACACTTCAATGAATCATAAAATAGGATCGATACGTCAATCATATTTATTATATTATAGAGAAAGGAATATTTTAATTTTAATGAAAAATTATAAAATCTAGAATAAAATGATAGTAGGTGTCGTCTTTTGTCGAATATCGCGGTGCCCACTTCGCGCGTTGTAAGATGGAGGGAAAATTTATTCTAAACTTACATTTATATAAGTTACTCTTGTCTCAATACAGTAAGTCAATCTTTTTGAATTCGATAGAGGAGAATAAGAATTATTGATTTTATTTTGATGTTGCCTTATTTTTATACTAAATAAGGCCGCGAGAAATATAAATGCGTCAAGAATATTTTTCGTTGCAGTAACAGAAATCCTTTCTGGGGGTGCATAAAATTTCCAAGTGAATTAATTTTCTATTTAGTCCGACAGTCACGGATCTTTTAATAGCTTCCAAGTACGGAACCGTATGACGTAGGATTGTAACGGGCAATAAATTCACGCGGGAAATATCGCAAATTCCCGATGCGCAGACGGCCACGAGTAGTCGGTGGAGGATTATATAATGCGACGTTGGCGTAATTATACCGGTTTTTTTGCACAGATAACATCTATTAATCACGCCGAGCAATACTATCTGCTCGGCAGATCGAATAATAAACCCGATATCTAGATCGGGCGAAGCGCGCCTCTCGGCGTCGAGACGACTTGGAAGAAATTATCAATTATTTATCAACTTACGACAGAGAATAATGTACCCTTATTAAAATTTATCAGGTATTACTTATCCAACGGTCTCGATATTTTCAATGGGAATAAATTCCCAATGGTACTTTCTGTCTTACAAGTAGAGACTAAAGTGTTTCCGCGGAAAGGACGCACGAGAGCAGAAGGGGGTTTTACGGAAAATCGAAGAGTTTCTCTTCGCTCCGGAAGTTCAACCCAAAAGTACTCTGGGGAAAAGAGAAGACAGTTCAGCAACCCATTTTAGGGCCCACAATTAGTAATCGAATTATTTGGATTATTTGTAACTTTACGAATTTTACCCCGCGTAACTAAAAATCGCGTGTAGCTATTCTTTCTATATCCAAGATTTTAAAGTAATACTAATCAATTCTCTCACTTAGTTCTGTCCATATTCAGTAACGCATAGATCATTTTTACTTAAGAGGATCCTAAAGTCATCTTTTTTACCGACACATTCGAATATAGTTTTTACGCTTGTAAATCTTTTTATTGGCTTTTACGCACAAAATAATACTAGGATAAGTTGCAGATCGCATAGCAGAATTTCTCTTCGTTCTTTTTTTTTATATAAAGTCGTGAACCTCCGGTTCACTCACCGAGTCGAAATTTTCGTACTATTTTGACACTTTTAAGGATAATTTACACCCACTTAGCTGATCTATACACCTATATAGACCAGCAATAATCTACTTTGATGACATTATACTTTTTACTACTCCCTTGAATCATTAATTCTAAAAATTACTTTAGCTTCTACTTAAAAGGGCCTACTTTAATGCTAAAGTGGCAAAAGTAAAAATGTCCAACACTATCAGTCTTACTGTCTTTTACTGCCTACTTAGGGCCTACTATATAATAGAATTAAAAATTCAACATAGGGCCAAAATTTCGACTCGGGTAGGATCTTCCTGAAATGTTAAGTTGCTTAACTACAGGAAAAATTATTAAAATTTGTTGCAGAGTATGCGAACCAGACGAACGCCGTTCTTTTCGATTGCTAATCAGAAATTTCTCGGGCAAAAGTTGCGGAGTATCGAAAATAGATCTCAGGCGCGAGTCATATGACGGGCGACGCGACGGTCGGATCGAGACGCGGCGCGGTCCATTTGCAGGCCTCATCTGCCACGTGCGAATGAGTCCCGTAAATGACGTGCGGGTGTTTATTTGACGGCGACGTTAGCGGTCGCGAATCGCGCGCAAATTCGCGTAATTGTGTGTAAACGCGCCGACCGACAGTACTTAACGGGTGTATTATTAGCGTAACATACGCGCGTTGACATAGGTACGTGTCGATTTGGCGTGCGCGATCGGGGCATTCAGGTGAGGCCTGTCGCGCAGTCTCTCGTAATATTGGAAAACAATGCGCGTTTTACCGGGAATCCGCACAAAGAGTTCCGTGCGTCCGCGCTGTCTGTTTCGCGCTTATTGTCCGCGAGAGCCAAAAAATTGGCCGTTCTCGTCTTGCCAGCAGCCGGTCAATTTTAAGTTGCGACCAGACCAGAATTTCAAATAATATAATGTACATTTGTATCTGCGTGTAAATCTATGCTGAAAGAAATGTAGTATAATATCTTTTTCAACGCGTGTTGATTTTCGCGAGCAAACGAAAACTGCGCGCGTCGCACTATCTACCTGGACGCCATTAGAATGATATAGAACAAGGAAAGTCGTTATATATAAATCCGACTTATCCTTATAGTCGCTACTTGTGCTGCGCCGCTTTTTGCGTCACATAACATCGTTTACGTAACAATCGCCTCATATCCGAACGAATCTCGATGAACAAGGGAGGGAGAGGGGTTCGTACGTTCGAATAATCGACACGCGGTGGTCTGAGATCTGAAGAAGCTGGCCAGGCGCTAAACTTCCCAATTTTGATTGTTATTTTCGAACTGTGTTATGTATAACTGTACAAAAATGTGTAACAGTAACTTTTTCATCATGTTTGATATTTGTTGACATTTTGGCAGACATTTGCTTAAAGTCGAACAATTTAACGCGTGCGTTCTGTAAAAATGCTTTATTGACGCTGTATTGATATAATGCAGTTTCTTTTTCCTTCTCCGACGCATTAATGATATTCTGATCTACGAGATATACCGCTGTAAAAAATGCGAATTGCTTTTTACAATTTGTAAATACGTTTTTACGCAGCACGAGAGTTTCATGACCTTATACGTAAATAAAATCGTCGATATAAAATGCGTTATACGACATGATATATCTTTCTTGTTTTACAAGCACAGTTTATGATGTGTGAAGAACGATAAAAAGAGAATTAGATGCTCGTAGGTGGTCTCGGCAGTACCAGTTTTCAATGTGTATTGAAACGCGCCCGTCGCTGTTTCATCGCTCAAAATTCTGGCGTTTAAAAATTAAAAAAAAACTCGAATATTTAATTTTCAGGTGTGAGGCTTTCCTCCAGACTTCAGACCATCGTACAGCGTGTCTCGCTCGAAAAAATAATATAAGGTTTCGGTTATCTAGTTTGATCAAACAATAACTTGCTTGCACGATAAAACGTCCAGATAGCACGTAAAAAAAAAGACACGTGATTACGAGGCTCGGAAACGTAGGAGACTAGGATGCGACGTGTTTTCTTCAAGACGCAGTTCTCGACACTGCTCTATTATAATCGTCTCTTTTCCTGTTTTGTTTTCTCTTATTTTTAACGCGAAACGATATCACTCGATCGCGGCAACATTTTAAGAGAAAAATCTAAAGACTCACCGATGCCCTCGACGACGTAACGGTCCTTGGCGTCCATGTTCGTGAGCTCGGTGACGCTCACAACGATTCTAACACTCATTATCCTGCCCAAAAGTTCGGCCTGAGAGTCCCGCAGGGCGTTGCAGCGCCGGGCATTCGGTGTCTTCTTCCAATCTAAATGGCAGACAATAACGTCGTATGTTAAACACAGGAGCCTTGAATATGCGAACTTCCTAATGGTTATAATACTATGTTATTTTATGACTACCCAAATAATGAGTATTCGACTAACGATTTCTCTTAATGATTAGAGCCGAAGGTTCTCCGTTCTAATAATTCAGTTAGAAATATTCAGCAGGTATGTAAACAGCCATGATTGTGGAAAATCTTTTTCCTATATTTCGTATTAAATTCTACTATCTTAATTCCCCTTAATAAAATTCCTTAACCGTATAACGTAAACAAGTTTGCCTGCATAAATAACTTATATAATGCAGGGTTACGTAATTGACGGTGCAATTGGGACGTTACACGTAAAAATAAGCCGATAATATAGAATAAAAACTTTCCATACGCTTTTGAGATCAATTATTTTTAAAAGTTTCAAGGTTTAGTAATATTTGTGTGTATTCTTTAGTTCCTCAACGATCTTACATTACAATCGTACCGAAACTCATTTCAACAGTTATTAACGCGCACGTAAAAAAAAGTATCGTAATTCATTTGATAAATAAACTGTTAGAAAAGTTACATATCAAGGAACACATTGTATGTGCGATCGCGTTGTAATATGATTTTAAACTGAGAAAGTCGAGGCATCTTTTTACATGCCGCGGCATAGTAAAATGTGCATTCGAAACCATACAAAGGTATCTTCACTTTCTCAATTTTCAAAATCGATATTATCTCAAAATGAAAGACTCGGACGAAAAAGTTCGATTCTGCACTTTTGTTTCAGAAAAAAAAACTGCTCGTCGAATGTGCCACAAATTATAAGATTATTACTCTCTGTACGTTGAAATTTGTAAGAAACGATGATTTCCTCTGATACTCCCATTCGGGAATATTTCATAATTAACCCGTTCAATTAAGTAGGCCATTCAGGGCATTTAATCTGCGTTGAATCGATTCAATTAATCCAAATTGGCCGAGGTGTCGCAATGAGATTCGCCCGATCGCGGGGTCCGGGGTCGTTCGACACGCTCAATAACCAACCTTAGAGACGATCTAAGAATCCGAAAGTGCCTTCGGAGCTCGGGAGGACACTCGATGCGCGAGGATCGGTAATGCGCGTCCGCGCTGGCCGAGAGCCGCGGCGAGTCTGCGAGGACGGGCCGGGCACTTTCATTAACAACAACACACAACAACGGGAGTCACGCGACCGTCCGAAACTTCGGTGACGCGCGTTCGGCGCGCGTTCTCGCGAATTCCCGAAGCGTTTCTGCGAAGGCCGTTCAGACGCGATCGCCTGATCCAGGAAGACGATGAGACGTGTCCGATGATATCTCGACAGGAAAAGACACTTGCAACGTCCTTCGCGAGTAAGGCTCGAGCGTCGCCTTGAGGCCGACGGTGTTTTCTTCAAGAACGACCGACGGTGTCTTGTCCCAGCTTTGTTTCCTCCTCCAGGCTTCCAGGCGGATGTTCCCTTAATTTTTCATTTAGTTTTCTAGAATAACTGCCTTGTACTCAGCTTTCTTAGGACTTTATCTCGAGACCCTTTTCTTCTGAAACTACTTGCCTCAAATGTCGTCGTTTCGTTTAAGAACGGCCGAAGATGTCTGTCCCGGCTTTGCTTTTTCCTCCAGACAAACTCCTTCAGACGGATGTTTCCTGAATTCTTCAAAGTGTTTTTAAGGTAACTGCAATCCACTTTTCTTCGGACTTTTCCTCGGTAATCTGTTTGGCCTCTGAAACTACTTGCTTCAAATGTCGTAAAAGTTTAGGCCGGTCAGCCGGCGTTGCGATTCGCTCAAACTGATCAGCGTACCGCCTTTCCACTGAACTTTAGCTAATTTTGATTTCCCCGTCACTTTCTTCAACTTTGTAACTTCACTTCGTACGAATAATGATTTAACACACAAGTCTCTATAAGCTTCAAATTCTTTAATCCTTCGCTCGACTCTTCACGTTTCTCGTCCGATTTTCCACACTTTTCTCGATCTTCAAGTTCCCTGCCTCTTTCCTCTCCCCACCTTCTCCTCGATCCGTTAAATCGATCGATTTACTGAATTACTTCAGTCTTTCCACCAGCTTTGTCCCCTTCAAAGGCTTCCGCTCGTTCAGCTTAACTAGCGGAACGCTTTGCTTCTCACTAGATTAGTAGAATCACCGGCGGCTGCGGCTGCGGCGGCGTCTTGTTACAGGTCCGCAGCGCGTTTTCCGCGGCCCGTGACCTTGACGAGTCCCACCCGACGGTGTCAGTAGCAGCAGCAGCAATAGCAGCAGATTGACATTACGTAAAGCCGAAGTTGCGACGCTTAATTCGCCGACCCAGCGTCGCGACGCCCCGCGGCGTTTGCACGAGCACCACTTCGAGTGTCATTCTTGTCTATCAGCTGATCGATTCTCACCGAGGAGCCGAGCAGTGGAGAACGATCGGCTTTGAAAATGAGAACCGATCACGAGACTCGAAGGGAGCTGCTTCGCTGCTATCTTTTTCCAGAAACGTCCCTTCGAGGGAACCGAGGGAGTAAAGCGATTGTCCAAGGAGAGAGGAAGAAAGTACAGATGTATCTTTCTCTTTAATAGCGTCTTAAAAAGGAGTCCTGGAATGTCGTCGGAAGAATTCCTCGAGATCGTCGTGAATCTTCTCAACTATCTTCTTCAACTATCTCTTCATTAATGTTTCACATTGGCATTTCTGCCCAAGCGTATTATTCACTGAGGATTGAATACGCATTCGTGAAAATACTCCGTAGAAAATTTCTCCTTCCCGAGTATTATTTTTGTAAATTAAATTTTCCTCCGACGTGCGTCTCCTTTTACGGAATACTCGGGCAGAAAATTTCCCCTCGGATGTTCTTCCGGCGCAGGTTTCTATAAATTTCTCTTTCGCGTAATCCCTTTTCGTAGGATTATTTTTAAGTCAACACTTCTTAAAAGATTATCTTCTCGGAAATGTCTCTTTGAAGAGATCCGTTCGTGAATAGGTTTTTGTTGGAGTATCAAGGGGGAACAAAGTTTCCTCGGTTATCGCTTTTCCGTCTCGGAAGCGAGTCGAAAAATCTCATTGATATTCAAATCCGACGCTTCTATTCTTGTCTCTCAGAAGTTTTCCACGTTGTAGAGCCATCTTCTTTTGCGTCGAATCAGCGGCGAATAATCGGCGAAGCAATTAATATTCTTCACACAACGATTCTCGTATATGACAAGTCGTTCCGCTAATAGATTATCGTTTCTCGTTATTCTTCGTTGTACGATGTGTGGAAGAAAATAGCCTGCTTATATTCATCGCGATCGGACAGTTTGCTATTACGACAATTTCAATCGTTGTTAAATCTTTCCGGGAGAAATTAAAGTATTGTAAATCGATAGCCAGTGCATAAGTTTCAGTATCAATCAAGGGCCGAGGTTTCCATTTAAAAATCTAACTTATCACTGATCCTAATTGCAATCATTTATCTCACGTTAGAATTTTTAACAATTTTTTTCACTGCAATCCTTCAATCGCGCGCCACACTCGACGAATGTAAACCGTCTCTTTTCGTGTATGTAATTGACCGAATTATCTCTCATAAATAGCTAAACAAAGGGCGATTTAGACACGTGTAATTTCAATGAACTCTCCCAGATTTCGCATTTATTTGCGAAATCCCGACGAGACCGGCGCGAGGACCGTTCGCGCATATTTATGTGGATCGAGTTTGCCGAGGCCTATACTGGTTTCGATCTCGAGACGAGTCTTTGAGCGCGACTTTCGGAAAGCGATCGATCGGCCAGACGCGATTACTCTCCTAGATCGAGCCGATGCGGTAAGCGTGTTTACGAGATTGCGAGCGACCACGTGGTGGACGTGGAATTACAGGTACGACTGGTCCCGAAGTGGCACGGCAGTGCGTGCGCCACGTGATTCCGCGTAGAACACAATGCGCGTCTTCCCGCGGTGCAGCGTGAATCGGCCAATTTCCGATTTGCGAGTCTTCGCGATCGAATGCTTTCTAAATCATCCGCGACACTGACAACACTACCCACAACAGAATTGCCTTTAACGATCCATAATTACAAGCTAGTTATTAATATGTCATTAATAATCGAACTCAACAGAGCAAATTGTCCCCCAACGTGACAATCGGATTTATCCGCAGTACGTGAAAACGTTGCGCAAGTAATGCAACTATTTCAACGGAAATTTAAGTAAGGTTGCTCGGTCAGATATTGCTGTTAACAATCGACAGTGAAATAAGTAATCACGCGGTAAATCCGTCAAGAGATCGCGCGACGATCGCGCTACTATCTTTCGGCTTATCACAATCCGACAATCGAATCTCAGCATTAGCGCGCAAGTCGATCGATCTCGAGTCTCGTAAATCTCTCTCGAGATTGACGATCCTGTCGGGGCGCGTGAAATTTCGCAAGAGCCCAAATTATCCCCGGGATTCTTCCACACAACGAACCATTATCTCTCCTCGCTATCACTGCATCCCCCGATCTTGAAGATCCCCCGCGCGATTTCGCAACTGACTCGCGGGCGGGCACAGTTTTCCGCGCGCGACGACGAACGAAAAACCAAGACGCGCTCGGGCGACAACCTCGGTGTGTCGCGCGGTAGCGACAAATAAAATCGCCACGCTGGAAAAGAGAGAACGACGGGCGGACGACAGGACTCCACTGCACGCGACAAGAATCTCGGGAGAACCTGCGACAGCCGTATATACGTCAGACTGGCGGAAAGCCAGTCGTTCGCCGTCGTAACGACAGGTGTTGTTGGAGAACCTGAGGTGGGGTGGGTGCGCAACGAGTGCCCAGGTGGGGATTGTATCTGGCCGAAAGTGGGGTGAGAACCTTCGCCGAGAGGAGTCGACCTCAGTTGTTGCTGCTGCGCGCAGCATCTATATGTCACGGATCCTTGATATGACTCGGATAGAGGTGTTCCCCCCTGCTGTATTAGAGACGGAGAGGAGAGAAAAAGTCAAGGGGAAGGTTGAGAGAAAGTGAGAACACATTCGGATGGATCTACATTCAAACGTTGCAGTTTACGACGCCGGGTCCTTTTGGCCTGATCTACAACACGCCCGTTGCGTCTAGAAACATTCGATTTTGTGGCCAATCAATACGTTGAAAAAATTTGTGACCAATTGTACATTGTGCAATCGTACGTTATCGGTAAATTTCACATGCGTATTGATTTGCTAGTATCAAATACAATGTTCCCAAGCGCAACAAGCACATTGTGGATTAGGTTTTTAACTCGAAGCCCGCTTGATCTATGATTCGCGTCTCAGAAATTCAGAACGAAAATAATATTTTTGTTTATCGGTGATCGAAAAATAATACGCAATGAAATAATTAATAAATGTCAATAATTTTAATCAATTTATTAAATAATCCCGGTTGTGTTGATTATTAATAAATTAAAAAACGAATCATGCCCTGATTGTCGGATAATGCATACTCAGTCATTGTACGTTTATTAAATAATATTTTTAATTGGCGTATCTTTTAACAAAACAAAAGCGTTTTCGGAAATTTAGAAAAATTAAACACAAAAGTATATTGTTAATGTTTCACTAGGACATTTATGTTAAAATTATTACGCGGATTTATATTAATTTCGTTAACAATTATATTAATTATTTATTGATAAAAATATACAACTGATCGCGCTTTCCTTTTAGTTGAATTACTGGGGCATTTTTCTTATTAGCTGTCGCGATATCTCCACATTATGAATTCTCGATACGGCTTAGATTTTTGTACGAATGCATTCTGCGTTGTAATAAGCATATTTATTTGCATTTGATTCATAAAAAAAATATTAAGCAACAATGATACGTTGATCCGATGTGTATCTACGTATCACAGATCCTTGAAGCAACTTCGATCTCTGTAAAGATATTCCATATAAAGAGACGTATACATTAAGAGAATTATGCTTATCTTATTTCTTAAGGAAAGTTGCTTTTCAACATTACACATGTATGCATATGTGCGTAAGCAAGAAATATGTGATATCGATTGAAATGGACCGGAAGAGTTTCGAGATCGTATCGCCAGTGGGGAATTACCAATAACACAAGAAAACGATCGCCAATCGTTAATCACCAGCTGATAAACATTACTGTTATTAATATAAAAAGCAATACGCCACTAATTATACCTGGCTTTATTGCGCACTTTGAAATTTAAATGTTTGACAAGACGATGAAGTTAACCGACGACGGCTTACGTAATAATAAAAGAATATAAAATTAACAGCGATAAAATTAAATGTGGCGGCAAAATTGCGAGTCCATTATGGGCAAGAACGAGATCATCAATTATTTAAAATAAGTAAGAGATGTAATAAAATAATTCATAAGTTTGTAAATTATGTAATAAATTATCTCTGTCAGTTTATGACTTTAATATATTCAAGCAGAAATTATTAAGCCAAAAATATGATATGGTGAGAAATTAGTAGATTAACCGATTAGATTAATCGAAATAATTCTCTGTCAAATTGTGTCAACGTATTAATTGATTGAAGGACGAAAGTGGGATTATATTGATTCAAATTAGCTAAAGAATCTATTCTTTTTTTAAATAAAGTATATTCGTAAAGCCGACCCATACAACACGCATGTCCAAAAGACATCTTTAAGACGTCTTAAAGGTGTCTTTTAGACATACGTGTTTGGGGAATGGCACAGTTTACTTCTGTTATTAGATTGAAATCGAATTCTTCGAGATGGCATGGCGGCAGAGGAATTTGTTGCTAGACCGTCAGGAATTTTAGTTAAAACGCACGATAAAATAGTTATTCGTAAATTATTATTACGTATAACTATATGCATAAATATCATGGCATTCGTATACGTGTACGCACGCACACATGCACACGTGCGCATTCACGCATGTGCGCACATATACAGGAAGCGTAATCGCGTTACGGCTATAGTAATAACAAACGCATTACAAACAAGTATTACAAGGTGAAATACTTAGGAAATGGGAAACCGTAGATACATTTATAATAAGTTACATAATCGCGACGCCTCCAAGGAGCCGCCATATTTAAATATTAAAGCCAACGGTACACGATACTGTTTTTTTTTCCACTGGGTTGCTTGCGAGAGCCAATCAGGATTCAGCCGTAAGTCGTCTGATCTAAAACTCTGCATCCCCATTGGCTCTCGCAAGCAATCCAGCAAAAAAAAAACAGTGTCGTGTGCCTTAACCAACGCTTGCGCGCGTAGGGCAATGGCAGAAATATAAAGCGTATCGTACAATGCCACTAACATACAATGGCAACAGACAATAGGAATAGAATTTTTGACGTGTTGGATGCGTCGGAAACTTTTTTTCGACAAATCCAACGCGTCAGAAATTCTCTGTCTCTGTTGCCTGGCATTGTGTTCGGACCTTTAGACACGAGGTACCGCGCTGAGGAAGATAAAATGTATTTTAAATTCTGGATTCCGGGCCTGAAAAAACTAGCGATCTCAACGTTTAATATAAGAAAGTGGACCGAAGGACTGCTACTTTCAACCACGAACATCGGCCGTCGAAATAACAATCGAGACGATTCGAAAGCAAGAAAAAGAGATTCGCACAGAGATTACGACAAACTTGCGACTTATCATCGCGGCAGACTGCACGAGAACTTCCTTCCTCGCTTTTGCCAAATGTCAAACATGCATCTATTTCAGTATGAAAGCGTGCACGTTCAGCTATAAAAAGCAGGTCTAACTCAGATAGCGAAAACGATAACGTGGCGTTTAATGACGTCTAATATACGAAAATACACGCTATGCCGTCTCTCACCGTCATTTTGTTATCTGAATGGAGTGACTGCTTCATCGAGGACACGCGCTCGTTCGAGCGCGGACGCAAACGAACGCGTGTAATTATACACGATTAGACGTGTTAATTAACGTGGATTAACGCCGCGGCGATTATACCGTGATCGCCCGCCAATTTGACACCTTTCGCACATTACTCCGTACTCACCTCCTCACCTCTATGCGTGAAACTCTCGAGCGACTCCGCGTTGAACTGTGATAAGGCGTGCAGGGCAACAAGCAGCACTGAGGGCCAGTTTCACAAACGTCGGTTAACTGTTAACCAGAGTTCAGTCAACTTCCTATCTTTTTCTATTTTGTTATCTAAGAAGAGACAGAGAATCAATTAACCTTCGGTTAGCAGCTAACTGACGTTTGTGAAACTGGCCCTGAGTCGAAAGATTTCAATTTTAACGCAGGAAGCTTCCGGTAAGCTTTTGATTGGTCGACTCGCATCGCCGCAGCTCAACGTGGCTCGCAGGGATTCACACCGGATACCCGATATCTAATACGATTGGTTTTCTCTTTTGGTTACTTCTTGGGTCCAAAAGTTTAGACGTCGGACGTCAGACGTCAGATATCTGATCCAGTATGAATCTTGCATAAACCCAATACAATTTTCCTACTTTTTCTTACTTACGAGAACCAATAAGGATGCAGAGTTTTAGATCAGGTGACTAAAAGAGCTGAACTCTGAGTTGGGCCGAACTCTCTTGCGGTGGAGACACCAAACTAAACCTTGAACCTGGACCTGAATCCTACTTTATAAAATGTTAAGATAGGGTCCAAACGAGGTTCGGTGGAAACGACAAGAGTCGAGTTAGGTTCCTGCACAATACATTGAAAATAAAGCTAATGTAGGATTCTCACTGATTCCCCGTTCAACTCACTTTATATCTTTTCCTAGTTTTAAAAAATAGAAAATGATGAGAAGTAATTTAAGCCGAGATTAAAGTTAATCTGCAGCGGTAGAAACGGACATAACTCAGCCAATAGAATCGCCAACGTGATGAATAAAATACATATTTGAGAAAGAGAGAGAGAGATATCTTGCTGACAGATAATCTGTTAGTATTGAAAGTTAATCGTCGATTAAAATAAATCGGAATTAAAGTGGCTCTAAGGCCCGATTTTACCAAACGTCGCTTAACTTTAATCTTAGTTTAATTCATGTTTGTCCCTTTCTGAAGTAACAGTTGGAAAGAGACAAAGGACGAATTAAACTAAGCTTAAAGTTAAGCGACGTTGGTGAAATCGGGCCTGAAGCGTTCAAAATTCTTTTCTCACTACTGATGGATGAATAGATGATGCATATACGTATACACGTGTATTCCCATACACCACGCATATCTAAAAGACATTTTTAAGATGCCTTTATGTCGTCTTTTAGATATGTGTGTCTAAAAGACAACTCAAAGACGTCTTAAAGATGTCTTTTAGACATGCGTGCTGTATGGGTTATAAAGATTCCACGTTGCTAATACAAAGTTAGAACTTGTAACAAGATTTGACGCGCGCGCGCGTACGTGTACGTTATTATGACCCTAGTAGCAGTGTATTGGCTAAACATTGGCTAAATATTGGTCCAATGTTGGTCGTATTAGAAATGCATTGGCCGATATTGTCCAACGTAAAGCCAATATTGGCCAGGGAACAAATGTAAATATTGCACGATAATAATTATATAATATTAAATTTGTATTGCAAGTGCATTGGCCAATATTTAACAGTGTAATAAGAATATTGGTCTTAAATTGATACAATACTAGACCAATATTGCTAAATAAGAGAAGGCGTCTTATAATATTGGGAATACTAGATTTACATTATTTTCCAATATCGCGCCAATTTATTGTGCTACTAGGGTAATGGCGAGCCTAAGGATCTAGCCAGATAAATTTACAAAGGTGCATAAGCACATACATAAAGAAATTGATTGGCCTACTTCCTTACGCATGCACTTATCGCCCAATCAGATTCCTCACGCATATGTTTATGCGCTATACAAGTTTGCCTGGCTAGACCCTAAATTGTGGTAAAAAGAGAAAATAATTTTATCGCACATTGCAAGTGCTCGGCGTTCCGCATAAATAAGTGAATAAAATCTGACGATACGCACACTCAAGATTGCACAAAGTTACTTTTTACGACTCGTTATCGTACGGCATTCATATACAATATATAGTGTATGGAAATGTTTACATGACCACGTTCTTCAAAAATTCGTTTGAAATGTGCACCAGAATGTGCTGGATCTCGCACATTCTGCATCATTCAAAATGTATAACGGATGCTCGGCGTCTGAATCGAGCGACACGATTGTTCGCGTTTTTACATCACCTTTTCTTCCCCTGCCGCTTTTTATCTCCTTACGCGTCTCTAATGCGTCGCGAGACGCCGCGGTTATCCGCGTTTCGCACCTCGGATTGTAAACACCTCAATTACACCACCTCTGTGAACAAATAGGTTAGAAACTGATGAAAAATTTACGTCGTAAAGAAGAGGACGTCACGTATACCGCGTCGAGATACAATTTCAAGTGGAATCGTAAGATTCGACGACCATCTTTCGCTTCAAGAGCCCCGTAGTATAAGAGCATAATACCTGCAGTGTCGAGTTGGACGTAGACAAGCAAATAATGTTAAGTACCAAGTATAGGAGTTGAGCAGGATTCGAGGAAAATTCGCGAAAGTTAATTTTCACTTACGCAGCGCCCGCGGAAAGGTCTCCTGCCTACGACGCCGTCGAAGTAATGGAGGACGCAGGAACGCCAGGAATCTGTGTAGAAAACGATTGTTTGATACCTCAATCGAGACGTGTGTTCAACGTTTGCTCGAACTCTTGACGGCGTTTCGCGAATGTTTACCGGACACGAAGGCATTGCGTTAGTTGCAATAATGCGTAAACATACCTTAACGACGCGGAGCGGCTTACGCCAACGGGACGCTTGACGGTGCAAGATGGCGCGAAAGCGACTGCGCGCGTTCGAAGCCGCGCGATGCGCGCGCAGCCTCGTTCGAATCAACTGCGCGGAGTCGCGCGCGACGCACGAGATATAATCGGTTTGCACGCACACCGATCGCTCGAGATGTCACGATTCGACGCTCGGGTCCAGTACTTTTGGCGTCGATCCGCACAGCCCAAAGCGTTTTCGAGGTATAAAGATGCAAAAAGCGACTTTTCGTAACGCACGGCCGTGCGGAACGGCGCGAAATTGGCCGCCAGTGTCACGTGATCGCGCGCAGTCCGCTTGTAGATCCGCTCGGAGCTCGATAGGCGCGAAAGCACGAAATATCACGTGCAGGTATGGAAGTAACGCGTTACTTTTTTTTTCTTTTATAACCGTAAAGGAAACGTAGTTACTTTTTTTTAGTAACTGTAACGAATTTTACAGTTACTTTTATCGTTACTTTTTATATTTCGAATGTAGTTATAAAATATAACTATATTTTCTTACATTTAATCTTCAGGCATCGATCGATGTTCATAATTTATTATCATGGGTTGTTATATTTAAGATAAGTTTACAATTATTGCGCGTTAATAATTTGAACGAAAACTTGGGAGTGCAATGCAAGAACGTTAGCTGTATTTATACTTTTCGTAGAAATAAAAATGTTTCATTTACATTTTGAGCGTTTAAAAATTTATCTCCTCAAATTTTTCGTGGTTTTACAACTTTAAAATAAATAATTGTTTTGCTAATATCTTTGTTAGTAAAAAAAAAACTATGACGAAAGTAAATGTTTCAGTTTGTCTAATCTCGTTTCAGAATTAAAAAAGTAACGAATCGTTATTTTTTAAGAAACGGTAACGAGTAACTTTTAAAAAGTAACTTTCCTATCCCTGACAATGGGGATTATTATTATAATATCGAAGAGCTCCATTTTCACGCTCGAAACATGTGAGTGTTTCTACGTTTCTGTCTCGCGATTTAATAGAAACGTGACAAATGAGCGTACGATTAATTTTTCGGTAGCACTGAAAATTGAACCGTTGAAATATTATACGAAAGTTATACGAGACTTCTTACGACTAAAAAATGCGTAAAATTCCCTAATTTGGATGATTGTTATATTTAGGACAGCCTTTGGTTTTCCAAGGAATATACAAACCTTCGGAAAGTTTAACGACGTAACAATCACTTATTATAATTCAATGAAGTGTATAATCGTGTATATCCTGTATAGCCATTTGATAGCTCCGGCTCGCTCAATTCAAGAGAACTTCAGGATATGGAAATATGTGATAGAGCCCTACTTCCCTACTTGAATACACTCGAATTAAAATTGATAAATTACATACACAGACGCTCCGACGAGCTACATTTTGCACAGAAACATATGTTACAAAATTCTATTACTTATATGTAATATATGTATAATTATATTTACACATTAATTATCTTTCTTCATTCGATTCGATGTCATCCTATAAATGATGGAGTCTCGTCCTGGATCCATATCAGCGATGGCGACTGAAAATATCAAGATCGCATCGTCGAGTTCAAGTCCCTTTTGTTAAACTTAAACGATTAAACGTATTTAACCAGAGAATTGATCAGTAACTTTTGAATGGTTGCTTTTGTCAAGTTTAGTTCTATACACAAATATAAAAATTAATATTAAAAATCCAATAAACTCCAGGATAGTGAAGGCTACTCGAAACGGAGAAAGATTTCTGATTTAATTAACGCTTGGAATATTTTTGGAAATTTCGTCCAAAATAATCTCTACTCTGTGTTTACGAAAATACGTACTGCAAATGGCTAAAAGCGAGAAGACGAAAACGACACCGAACCACAGCATTATGTTGAAGATGACGGGATAGTCGTCCGAGTAAGTTTTCGCGCGGCCGGAAAATTCAGGCTGAAACAGAATGGTCGTTATAACGGAGGTAAACGCAATTCTCGAGACCTACAAAATCCTGCGAACGTTTCTCCCTCTTTCTGCGGTATTTGCTAAATTTACTAGTAACATTCTACAATTCTCAACACCTCGCGAATCAGTAAGATAAAAAAAAATTGAGCGTATTCAGAGATGCAGTAAAAAATACCAAGGCTTTCGCTATTAACATATGAAACGAACTCGAGAGTTCGTAACTAATCAACGAGAATTGCTTTAGGTACTTGCTAAATAATTAATTAAGTTAAGTCTTTCCTAACGGAAACTTTCAATCGAGAGTCCCATTATTTGTAGATTTATCATCATTAAAATATATGCATGCAAGACACGACAAGCCTTCATGCAAAATTATAATTCTGCACTTGAGAAGCAACGAGCCCGAAACTGTATTTATAACATTGATGTAAAATCGTAATTAAGCATCTCGGGAAGAAGTGATTTCTTGGATTTATATCACCTCGCTTCTCGAGTACAAAACTTGCTGCTTAAATTAAAAGTATCACCACGGCTAAGCATCATTCACATAAGCATTAATCGGCATCTACGGCAGATTACAATCTCAATGCGAAAGAAAACAATCTTACAAGAAATTGAAGCTGAATTAGATAAGTGTTGAAAAATCTTCTGTCAAGATTGTTCAGCTCTACTGAAGTACTTGGCAAGCATTAAATTAATTAGTCATCTCTTTAGAACTCAGGTGCTCTAATAATCTGGCAAGGCCTGGCAGAACGAAAACCACTAAGAGAGGCCCAGAAAAAGAACTTGACAAGTCGCAATTCTCAATCAATTTCTCTATACGTTAAAATTTAGGATCTTTACCATTTTATTCGACTGTCTTAGAACGATCTACATTTACTCGAGCATATCAACGTATCTGATTGTAAGCTTAAACTATATTCATTAAGTTTTATTATGATTTTTCTCTGCGAGCTTATTTTTATCAAGTGTTTTTGACGTAAAACTTACTTCTTCTTTTCATAGTATGAACATTATGAATCTTGAGAAATTGTTCGCTCGTTGCGACGCAAGTATATAAAAACTGAAAGAAACCGGACTTATCCGGTTCTCTCCTGGACCCGTCGATTGCGATGCATGTTAATATGTTTGCGATACCTGTCCTATTGTCTGTGTGTTAGTATTTAAGTTATTCTCCTTATTAACTTCGTCGGACTTTTCCGACGTTCCGCTATACTGACGTTCAGTAGTACTGACGACAGTGTTGGACCCGACAGTACTACTCATTCTATCTATCCCCTCTTCGTCATTATTATTTTGTCCCTCTTGCTCGCCGCCTCGCTACAATCAGTGTTGTTCAGTATCTGAGTAAGGTGATTAAAGCAAGCCCAGTCTTCAAGGCTCCAAAGATATTAGAACTTGAAGGACTTAAGTTTGCCGAGTACATCGATTTGTCGACATCGAGTTTCAGATTCTACCGTTTTGATCTTAATTCATTTCAGGGATTCGGCTGTGGCAAACGTTGAAATATTTGCCCGTATCAAACTTGGAATTTCGTCGAGCCCGAGGATACCGACGGTTTCAAGGGTCACATTAGCGACTACCTAAATTCACCGATGTCGAGCTTCAAACTTGATCGATTAAGGACATCAGAACGATTGATCGAGTAGCTACATTTGTCGGTAACCGAGCTTTCGTTAAATATAATCGTTTGTAACAAATTTCGCGAGAGAAAAGAAGACGAACGGATGGACGAGGTTTGTAAGTTCGTTGATTAGAGTAATTAAAGAGTAATTCGTCGTGTTTCGCGATATCCATGCAAAAAGCTACCTCTAATTCGGAAAAGAAACACTCTCAGTCAAAGTAATAGCCCATGCAATGCGATTCGACACGGTACCTTGACGAAAAAATTATCGTTAATATCGTCTGAACTAATTGGCGCTCCCTTGGCACCACCAGCGGTTTTAACATTTTTAGTCTTATGAGCCTACAAAATATCCCGTAACAATTAAAAATGGTACAGATGAGGGATTGATAATTTCAAGCGAACTAACGCGCGATTCTAAAATCCAATAGTTCTGAATAAGCGGAGCGAGATTCAACACTGCTCAAATCGATATCTGACGGTACTTTACGGCTCTATTGTATTTTGGCGTAGAAAACGAATTTCAATCAATTGACGCTTAGACAAAAAGTATGATATACTTACTTAGCAAATCGGTTGCAAAATTAGCTACAATCTGTATCGTGAACGTTCAAATGAATTATACATTGTCGGGATCGCAAAACGATAAAAAAATAAGACTAGAAAAGTATTCTCTTTGTATAAAACTTGACGAGAGAAATTTCATAAACGGTGAATTTTAATAATCACTTTTTTTTCACGTTTCGCACAATATACCGTTATCATTTAAAAAATAACGGCAAAGACTCGTCTCCGAGGAGAACTGTTACTGATGAACATTAAGATGATCGAGTTTGATTAAAATGGGGGGGCGTTTAATTTAATTACGTACTGCATATCGATATGATTATCGTAAGTTCTTTCATTTCTATTTTCAAACACAGCCGTAGACAAAATTATTAGGTACCCTCCTAATCGTAATACTGTACTGATAATGAATTTAATACCTGGAAAATTTCTATTTTTTTTAAAAGTAGTTTACTAAAACGTTGTTGCTTCTATACAGTACACAACGTTTAAAGGTGCTTCACCAAATTACACACGTATGTGTATACAAGTAACACTCTTAGATTTGCAGCGCAAGGCTAATATTACATTTGTCGTGCGACACATTTTTCAAGCGTGTCGATTGGCTGCAGGATAGAAAATTTCTAGAGACTCGAGAACTCTTCTGTTCTGCAGCCAATCGACACACTTAAAAAATTTGTCGTACAACAAATGTAATACCAGCCTAGTGACAATAATTTTGTCTAAGGCGTTTTCCTGTCAATGCTCTGAAGAATCTTCAAATCATCCTGTACTCGAAACACGGTAGATCGCAAAATGCTTATACCTACAAAGCCCAAGACAATTTTGGACGACTCACCGGGGTGTCTCTGCGCTGTCTCTCGAGAACAGAGCGGGCGTTCCTCACCTTCGAGGCGTCGTTCGTAAAGACTGCCATGACAACCTAGAGCAGATAGACAAAAGCATTCGGAACGTGTGAATTGTACGATCGCATATCTGCACCGACTATCGCGTGCAAATAGACTAGGGCCTGTATTCTAAGGCCTCTTTTATCGATAAAAGCGCCTCTAAAAGTGGCATGTAGCCAATCAGAAGGCTTATTAGCCACTTTTAGACGCGCTTTTATTAATAAAAGAGGGTTCAGAATACGGGTCTTAGTCTATATTCATTATCCAAATTGCACAAGTAGATAAAAATCAAGAGTGAACGCATTCCGAACGTACTTTGCCGTCGTACGCGTTCACGAAGGCACTGGCAATTTGCTGCATCGAGTTTGACAACAGTGTGAACGCCTCCTTGGCGGTCGCGGAAGTGTTTCCGTGCAGATCCAGGACCGGTCTGAGCGCCGACACTACCAACCAGTAGACATCCGTGCCGGAGTTGTGCTTCTTCCCGGTGAACGAGTTGTCAGCGATGGCACTGAGAAGCTGCATCTCCTCGACGAACTTGCGATCCTCCTCGATCTCGGGGCTCAGAAACTTGAGTTCTTTCTTCATTTTGGCAGGTTTCAGCTCGCCGAGGGCAGACTGGCCGAGCTGCATCATAGAGATCTCGCTTGTAATATCGTGGATGTTCAGTAATAACATGTCAAACTACTGGCAAGTTTATAATCAAGTCTGTCTGCCATCTACGAGTCGAATAGCACTTACAGCGTCCACCCCGTCGCTCAGGTTAATCCTGACCAAGGTGTTGTCGTTGCTGCGCTCCTCCACTCTGCTTCTAATCGCCTGCCAGGTGGTCTCCTCCGCCTCGTCGACGATCAGAGGATACACGACGAGGTTAGTATTGTCCCTGGTTTTGCCGTCCGGGAAGGGCAGTTCCTCTATTCCGTCAATCGCTATGGCAACCAGTGCCTTGGGCATCGAAAACGGATCCCATATGGCAATGCTGCGATCTGAATCCCTCTGCAAGATCGCGAATCACGTTTCTCTCAACGAATCTTCAAATGAGGTTCAATAATGAGTGTGTCGTTTCAGGTGCGAGACACTCGAAACAGCAGAACGATTGAACCTTAAGATTCGGTTCCTTTCGCGTCGACGTTACAAAATCTTAAAGTCTCGCCGTTCGAACGAAATGCATTTGAAGCTTTGTGGCGTCCAGGAGTCTCTCGGTGCTTTCCATTTGGCGACACCATTTTCAACACCCAGTGAACAACATGGACAAAATAATACTTGTGTCAGTCAATAACTGGTGTCGGAGTAAATGGAAAGCACCATTTGGCCCACTTAATAATGCAAATGCTTCTTCTCTTTCCTGTTGATAAAGAGACAAGGAAGGGAGGAACGTCTTGAAGCATTTGCGGCATCAAGCAAGGTATCTGCGGACCGCGGCCTTCGACGGGTGGTCTCCCTCGAGAGACGACGTACCTGCTTCCCAGTGTAACCAAGAGCCGCCGACAGGATCTCCTTGAGGCTGCTTTGCTCGATCTCCCCATTCACGGTGAATTCCACGCTGTCGGGTGAGTAGAGAACGACGAATTCACCGATGGCGTGAACTGGAAAAGGGCGAGCATTGAGCGAAGACCCGTCTTCGGCAAAAGGACGCGCACGTTTCGGGATACTCGAAATGTCTCGGGGGAGAGTCTACTTTGCCCCGAAATGAAGTTGAATTCGAACATCTCGCCAATTCTTGGCGGAAAACGGCCTCGGAGGGCTGGACTGGCTTCCGCAGTCGGGAATTCGATCGCGGAAAACTCGAGGTACTCTAGCAGTTCTGGAAAGGATGCCTCGAGGGCAAGCGGGGAATTACCTGCGCCGAGGACAGCGACCAGGAGCGATAATTGTCGTAGCATCGTTGCGCGAGAAAACAATCAAATTCGAACGACACTCCCTCGACGTCGATCAATTTCGGACGCGATCATGTGATCACGTCAGATAACATGTGACACCAAGAGTCGGCCATGGACGTGAAAGACAACCTGGGTGGGTCTGGAATTGGACCGCGGGCGAGACGAGCTTAAGGGCCGGTGCTCATCGTACGATCGTTAAAAATGCAATCTTGGTAATTTTAACATTTCAGCCTCTCGAGATTGTAATTAAGACGATCTTAAATGACGGTGAGAAGAGAAAGAAAGATAAACGGTGCAGAAAGTTGAGCTAGAAAGGGTTAGGCCTTACGAATTCCTGATTGGCTACGCCATGTTGGTGCTACTATTATCGACATATCAAAGGTGCATTTATCCTTATTATATATTTAATATTTGGTGAGCGAATAACAAGGATAATCGATGCATCGTGCGTGAAACAGAATGAACCTCAGATGAAACAAAATTTCGACATCGGTTTCAACGTTTTTGGAAAAAAATGTTTTCGTTACCGACCCATTTTCAAGCACTGCCGATAAAGTCTCCACTTGGTGTGTGTCCGCGCTACCCCCTTTTTTCACGCGGGTAATGCAGCGCCCAATTTTGGTTGTGTTCCACGCTGCGTGCGTAAAATCTAATATTTTGTACATTTTAATATTTTTGATACATATACATCAAGTATATCAGCAGCAATTGTATTAAAACCAATTGTATAATCTATAAAAATTATTTTCGATTAATTGCGTTATTTAGTGGACTGGTAATTTCCTTTAAGAGGATCCCGTAGTATGTCTGTATTACCGACAGAATTACCATTTTCGTAGTTATAACCTTTCGTCGTATTAAATTCATGGAATCAAAAATGCTTGCGTACAATTACAGTATACATATGCATTAATGATCCCAGGAAACTCCGATTTTATACCAAAAATGAGTAAAAATTACAAAAATCATATAATCGATCACACATAACCTTGTAGACGCGAACTGTCACTCCGTCATACTTGTGCTTCGTATAAAAGTTCTACAACTTGTACTCACATGAAACTGAGTTTCCTAGGATTCGATGACATGTAGAATTACTGTGAAACCCTCTAAATTGGGATTAGAGGTTTAAAATAAGAGTATAGTTAGTATGAAATTTTCGCGTTTATGTATGGGTGTGATGTATCGTAGTAGTGTGTCCGTGTGCTCATGTATATGCTGCGTTTCGTGTTTAGATGGCGCACACCATCAAAGGCCTCGGTCTTGGGGGATCCTCTTAAAGGTTTCGACATTCGTACCTCGACGAATTACTTCGAAGCTTGGAAAAATTCAACCGTGTGAGTGGCGAATGTATTCGAAGAATACGAAATATATTGCAAATAAAAAGTATCAACAACGAAAGAATGTGAATCGCCAGTAGTTGATTAACGATAAAAAACTTTTCACTCACCGACACGATATGCGCTGCGGCGGAGTTGTATCTACGTTGATTCCGCAATGGCGGCCGATGCCTCCTCCTCCTCTCAGGTGTCGTTGGCTCAGTTGTCCTCCGACACAGTCGCGAATTTGCACTTCCGTTTGTAAAGTCACTTGCCACTGTCACTGTGTCCAAATGCCACTTCTTCGGTTTTCACTGTGTCCGCCCAGTGAGAATTGATTCGTCGATCGACGTCGATCGACGAATCATTTCTCACCGGGCGATTGTCGCTGAGTTCGATTGCCACTCCTGGTGAAAATAGAATTTGGAGCGTAAATCGAATGTAAGGGGAGAGTGACAGAAGTGTAAACGAAATGTGTAGGAAACGTAATTTGGAACAGCGAAGCGTAAAAGAAGCGTTCGAGGTTTCTTTTACGCTTCGCTGTTCCAAATTACGCTTCCTACACATTTCGTTTACGCTTGTGTCACTCTTCCCTTACGTTCGATTTACGCTCCAATCTTTATTTTCACCAGGGCCACTACGAAACTGTTCGATTACATCGTCGCACTGATACCCGCCACAAATCACTGACACAAATCGCGGGCGGGGATTCAACGATGATATCGATCAATGATTGTTCACTGAAAGCGATCGCGGTTTCATTCCCGCACTCGTCGCGAACGCGTATCAAGAAAGAATAATACGGTATGCGAAGCGGCGCGGGCACAACCGATCAATTCGACTGTCGCCGCGTGAATGAACCGGCGTAAACACCGTAAAAACCGAGCGCGGGCTGCGGATTCCAAGAAATGACGTAGCGCCGTGAACACCTCGGACAAAAACAATCTATTGGAATCCGCGCTCGGTTTTTACGGTGTTTACGCCGGTTCATTCACGCGGCGACAGTTGAATCGATCGGTTGTGCCCGCGCCTCTTCGCACACCGTATTATTCTTTCTTGATACGCGTTCGCGACGAGTGCGGGAAGAAACCGCGATCGCTCTTTGATCGGTATCGTCGTGCGATCGTTGAATTGTGTCGGTGATTTGTGCGAGTGTCAGTGCGACGTTGTAATCGAACAGTTTCGTAGTGGCAATCGAACTCAATGACAATCGGAAACAGTGAAAACCGAAAAAGTGGCATGTGACAGTGGCAAGTCACTTTACAAACGGAAGTGTAAATTCGCGAGTGTGTCGGAGGACAACTGAGCCAACGACACCTGAGAGGAGGAGGAGGCATCGGCCGCCATTGCAGAATCAACGTAGATACAACTCCGCCGCTGCGCATCGTGTCGGTGAGTGACAAGTTTTTTAATCAACTACTGGCGATTCACATTCTTTCGTTGTTGATACTTTTTATTTGCAATATTTTTAGTATTCTTCGAATAAATTCGCCACTCAACGGTTGAATTTTTCCAAGCTTCGAAGTAATTTAAAGTGTCGAGGTACGAATATCGAAACCTTTGAAGGAAATTACCAGTCCAGTAAATAACGCAATTAATCGAAAATAATTTTTATAGATTATACAATTGGTTTTAATACAATTGCTGCTAATTATATACTTAAAATGTACAAAATATTAGATTTCACGCACGCAGCGTGGAACACAACCAAAATTGGGCGCTGCATTACCCGCGTGAAAAAAGGGGGGTAGCGCGGACACGCACCAAGTGGTGACTTTATCGGCAGTGCTTGAAGGTGGGCGTAGCGAAGTAGTTCGAAAAATGAAAGTGGGCGTAGGGCGCTGGAATCAGCCGGCGCGGCCGCTCTTAGGATTTCTCTCTCCGATGCCGCCAATCGAAAAATTCATACAGATAGTTGATAACATCGATACTCTCCTATCTCCGTGCTCGCGGGGGTGGCGGGCGGGCCTCCTGCGTTGACGAAAACCTGCCCAGAAACGGTGTGGACGGTGTGGTTTGCAAAACAGGCATTCTGACCGCTGACGGGACCGATACAAGTCAAATCTGGGCTTCCCCCGCGCCTCCGCGCGACGTCACCGCGGTCGCGATGGGTGTAGCGAGGTCACTCCTACCACGTGACTCGCGCTCGCGCACCTCGTGACTGATCGATCGATCGCGTTATCTCACTACTGGCTCGTCGCCCCCGCGACTCTCGTCACGGCCGCGCTTTCAGGGTTGGCGATAAGAAGCGGAACGAAGTTGACACCTGGCGGCGGAGCGTCTTCGACGCTCCTGGAGTAAAGTCCACTTGTGATCGTCCCCGCGGCACGTTACTTCCAACAACCCACGAAGATGGGCTCGCTTTTCCGCAGCGAGGAGATGACTCTGTGTCAGCTGTTCCTCCAGAGCGAGGCAGCGTACGCCTGCGTCTCCGAGCTCGGCGAGCTCGGTCTGGTGCAGTTTCGCGACGTGAGTAACCGCGTTCCTCGCGACTCTGCCTTGACGGCTAGTCCCGGCGATCTTCCTAGACTGTTGGTCGTCGAACACCCGCCCCTCCCCCGTTTCCATATCGTTACACCCTTGTCTCGCCGCATCGACGGCTTCACGTCCAGTGTCCGTCTGATTTTAGTTGAATCCCGACGTCAATGCCTTCCAACGCAAGTTCGTCAACGAGGTGCGCCGTTGCGACGAGATGGAGCGCAAGCTGCGCTACCTGGAGAAGGAGATCAAGAAGGACGGCATCCCGATGTTGGACACCGGCGAGAACCCGGAGGCCCCGCAGCCCCGGGAGATGATCGACCTGGAGGCGACCTTCGAGAAGCTGGAGAACGAGCTGCGGGAGGTGAATCAGAACGCCGAGGCGCTGAAGCGCAACTTCCTGGAGCTGACCGAGCTGAAGCACATCCTGCGCAAGACTCAGGTCTTCTTCGACGAGGTAAGCCGCGCGCCGATCGCGCCTAATCCCCTGCTCACGCGATTGATCTGGTCTGGATCGCGAAAGAATCGGGCGAGTTTACCTTTCGAGAATTGCAAACTGTCGAGGGTAGCCTTCCAGATCTGCTTGTCGGCAAGGAGGAATGGAACGAGAATTGTACAAAGTGGAATGTGTTGAAGCGTGTCTGGTCCCTCAGTCTGTCGAGCGTTCCTGTAAAACTATGAATGTGAATCTCGTTTTGGGGGAGAACTTTCGCAATGGGCTGTAAATATCGGCGGAATGGTGTTGCCACTTGTTACTTGAATGTCGAGTCGATGGGCATATAAGAATTCTCTGTCAGCAGTCGGGGACGAAGCGCGGTTGTTTATGTGTATATCGGCTTGAAAATCACACGTCCGAACGAAAGTTCACTCCGCCCCGTTTGCTGTACAATTGGAATTTTCGCGCGGCGAGATGTACCGTCGGAAAGCCTTAATGTCGCAGCCTACAGCCTCATACTTGTTTGGCTTACATTTCCGTGAATCGGTTAACGCGCGAGCGACGCGTTCTCTCCCCTTTCAGATACAAAAGATTCGTCTTAATTTAATATGCGCTTCAGTGTAAAACGTGTATCACCTTAATGGGATCTCTTCGTAGATCCGCTTAATGCTTTTGACGTACAGTGTACATTTTGGCAAAGAGAAAAGAAAAAGAGAACGAAAAGAACGTACGTCCTTGTGAAAACTCAAGGGGGACTTTTGTACGAGGAGATCTCGTTGAAGTGACAATTTTGCGATGTCTTGCGAGGAGGGAAAGTTGCATTGTCGACTGAAGGGACGGCCGCACTAGAGAGCGAACGAGTCCACGGGCTGGGCGAAATGTTCTCTGATGCATGAAAGGCTGGAAGGACTGCGCGCGAATTAGATACACCACAGAGGCCTGTCTGTGCCACAGTCGCTTGCGCAATTTTATGCGAATGCAGCGGAGAGACGCTTAGAGATGCAGCGAGAGACGAGATATAGGACCCGACGCGACGAGCTGGTGGCGAACGCCACCCGAATTGTCGGACATCGGAATGTCCACGTTTTGTTTTCTCTCTCTTTTTTTTTTACCGTTACTAATCATTATATTGTTGAGTGATTTTAGGATTATTAATGTGTTAGTGTTGCCAACTAACCAAAAGCCACTGCTGCAAAGGACACAAGTCACTCGCTCCGCCCTGTCTCCCTTTACGAGTCCTTTGAGACTTACGTCCAGTAACGCCGCGACTTCGTACGGATTCCATTACATTTATAACGAATTGTGTTTAACGTTTGATATTGAATTGGACCGACACTTGTTGTTGTTGTTGTTGTTGTTTCATTTACCCGTGTCGTGTGTAGCAGCAAAGAGAATTCTTTGAGAGACCACATATTGTCGTTCCCTCTGCACACGAACTGCCTCGGATTAGTTTATGTAAATGTATCCTTTTGAAGAGAGCAACCCGTTGACCGTAGTTGTTTAACATGTAATCTTTTGAGAGTCCTCTAGTTCAATTTTAGATTTGACATCTCCAGTATTTTCTCATTCGAGTTGTCACCTTGTGTGAGTTTTCCTTCATTTTAGTACATTAACGTTTCTTTTTACCCTTTATTTTAGTATATTAATGTTACACACAATTTTTATTTCTCTCCATTTTGTTCCGTTGATCTTGATTTTATTCCTCTAAAGATGTATCGTAATTCGTCAAGTGCATGTTTGGTAACAAACATGTTTGCACGTGTCGTGATTACTTACTCGATACAAGATATCCACACGCAAATAATTGTTCAGCAAACTCGAATGATTTCTCGATGCACACACACAATACTCTTTGACAGTAACGACTTGAGTGTTTCGCGTCACTTTCCCGAAAGTTTTAAGAGCAAGTAGTCTCAGTGGCAGATAACAGCAACAGAAATACTATAAATGATAAACGTACAAAGCACTACACAAAACTGTTGAAATTAATGTAAGACTTCCATAGGATTATTAGAACTACAGAAGACTACCACACAAATAATAGGAGCTAATTGTAGACGCAAAGCATGAAGCCTTGTACGATTAATAGTAATGAATTAATGGCAATCTGCATGAGTTGTACTAATGTCCGCAACGTTATGTGAATTTGTTCAACATACATTGTTTAGAGGATATTGCATTTTGTGCTAATTCCTTAAAGGCCGCATTGCGATTCGCTTGGCACGGAGTGTTCATCACTCGATGATTTGAATTGTGTGAAATTTTGAAATTTTACCCCGAATAAAATCCTTGAAGTTCCTCTCATTAAACTGGAATTATTAAAATCCGCGCGGTATCAATGTAAATTATTTAACGTTAATTAATAATTATTACTTTTCACAAAAAATATTATATATTAAATAATTATCACGAGTTATTATTATCGTCTTTCTTTGGTGAACAAATGTTAAATAATCACATCCTGAAGTGCAAGTTGTGCGTATTAAATGAAAATTTCCGAATGTATTTTGAGAAAATACGCCAATCGGCCTTTACCGAATTATTTGCATGTAGCATGTGTAGCAAGATTGTAGTTCTATATGTGGTATATGTTTCCACTTTAATTAATTTATCATATAGTTATTATAGTTGCTATTATAGTTGCTATTAATAGTCAGCAATATTTTAATTGTAGAGCTAGACAGAAATTAGGGCTGCATGAACTTTGTACAGTTCGTGATGCTTCCCTATTCAACTAAATTCGTACATCTATAGATCTGTTGAGTGTCACGACTCTAAAACATTTGGCACTTAGTTTTCTGAATTCAAACTGTAGATTGTGAAAGACTCGGATAATCTAGAATTCGAATTCTTAATTTCAATCTGAAATCCCGTGAATATTTGGCATCCCGTGCGTTTAGAGAAAGTTGCCTCCGCGAAACTACCTTTTTAAAATTTGGGGAGACTCTCTTTTTAAATTCTTCGCGCGACTCTTGAAATTTCTCAATAAAATTTTCCGAGAGCTCTACTTTTCGTCTCTCCTCTACCCCACGGCTAAGCATCACGAATTTAGACTTGTCGTTAGATCTAGCATTGAGCAAAACTACGCGAGTTCGTGAAGCGATCTCTCCTTCTTCCTCCTCCTCTTCTTCTTCTTCTTCGACGTCGGTAAGTTGAAGAAAATTTTGAAACAGAGAGAAGGAAAGAGGGTCTGGTATGAGCGAGTGGAACGGGAGATAGGGCGAAAGAGGGGTGACCTGTGTCTGTTGCCAGGCTGAGCATGGAGGTGTCGTGTCGCAGATGGCAGACCCCAGCCGTGAAGAAGAGCAAGTCACTCTGTTGGGTGAGGAGGGCCTCCGCGCCGGCGGCCAGGCTCTCAAGCTCGGGTAATTAATGTGTGTGGCGTTACGTTCATTCAGTGCAGAGCGTGGCGACTCCCGAGTACCTGCCGAAAGACAAGCAGACGCTTAACATCAAGATCTCAGTTTCTCATTGAATTTAGATTCTCTCAAAGCCCTGCTTTCAGAAACCTGACCTGTTTGTCTCGCTCCATTTCGCCATTCCATTTTGCAACAATCCTTTTACGGCAGATGACACTCAAAGACCTTGAAGCGTCGTATACCTATAACTGACATTTATCAAAATTCTTACATTCTTCAATTCAATTCCTCTTTGGTGTGTTTTTCTTGTGTTTCACTTTTATTAAGGAGAGCTTTGCATTTGACGATGTGCAAATTGCTACCGAAGTTTCTTCATCACTCCTTTCCAAAGTTCCCAGACATTCATTGCGAGCTAACATCCCCCCTGAAAGTTACACGCCAATCTTACAACGGATTAATTTTGTTTACGTCCGCCTTGAGCTCCTTCGGCTAAACTTCGGAATTTATGTCCTCGAGATCCACCAGACTAAGCCCAGGCTGGGTGATTCCGGATCACCACGCTCTGCAACTCAATCCTCGCCGAGAATCGTCATCGGTATAACGTCGCATGCCTACAGTTTGTGTCGCAGAACACGAGCCCGATGTACTGCTGCATTTTACCATGCAGTCTCTAACGCTGATCCTCGAATTGCTGACCCGAACGCAAGCGTATATCCCGGAACTTTCTTGATGACAATGCAACAAACGCAACCATTGTACTTCCTCGTCTCACTTCGACTCGTATTATCTTCGTATTTTATATTACTGTAACTTGTTGCTGAGTTTTTACAATTTTCGATATTGTTCGCCATTGAAGACTGAATACGCATTCACGAGATTTAGACAGTTTTAACGGTCAGTAATCCGAGGATTAGGACGAAGTCAGGAAATGTGCAGCCAAATGAACGAAATAACTCGGTGAAATATTCTTATATGCACTCTCGAACGCGATTTCATACTGTAGGGCCGAGATGTGCCGTAGAATCGAGAATAAACCGAGCGTTTAACACGGGTTTTAGTTTATAATAAAATACTAATACAATGCAACACTGTTCATAATAGAACTCTACCTTTTTTTAGTGAATTCTTGTGTACGAGCTTATTACTACAAATTATAAGTGCACTTACGTTAAATTCTTTTCACATGCATGTTCTTCCACTATTAATATTATAACATAATAATTTCTAAATTGAGAACACGCTTGTAGAATTGAACCTACGAAGAATCGTTATGAAAATTATCTTCGTGCGTCTAAATGTCAGATTAGAAAAGAGAATTCTGGAGCTCTAAATTCTTACAGACTTTCGGCTGTTTAGAAAACTAACAATAAGATGCCTGGAATGTTGAATAAATCCCAACATCCTGATCCTCAAATAATGATCAATGAACAACTAACTAAATAGAAGCTCTTTGATTACCAAATTATTGTCTAACGTGTGTCCACTGTAACGTCATAATCACCCTACGATAAGTACCGTGTTAGAGGCTCGGTTTTCGATGCCGAACTGAAAATTGCGCCCAGCGCGGAACTTTCCCACGTGTTCGAGGAAGCAAAAGAGTTCGAAGAGGGTTGATCGACGAAATATATCGCGGACTTTTTCCGAATCTCCTTTCTTTTTTACCTCCCCGAAACCCCCTCCGTCGTGTTAATCGTAATCGCTACGTCAAAGGCCCGGTACTCACCCTAGACCCTAGATAGTAGAGGCGTCCTACGTCAGTGTGTTCTGTGATTACAGCACCTGTACACTGCGGCAGACACCGTAGGAGCACATTATAGGAACCCGTTAAGGCAAGCTGTTATCAACCGTTATTTGCGAATCTGGTTTGCGAAAACTGTTTTTTTTTTGCCTCGATGTTGTTGCCTGCGTCTATCCAAGACCCCGGTCGCTCAACGAACGGAGCCGTACCCTGCGTTGCTGGAGCATCCCCTCGCGAAAATGGTTTCGGGTTTCCCTCGTCCCTCGACGAGTTTCTTTCCACGCTGAGTATCCACTTGGGTCCATTCCTTAAGAGAATTTTTATATTTCGACCGGTTCGATCAAAGATTCCTCCTCAGTCTTTGTGAATCAGAGATTTGGACTCTCGGAATCTTAAATTTGCAGATTCTCGTATCCTGGAGATCCTTTTTTCATTAAGTTCGCAGACTTTCCTATCAGAATCTCTCCGATTCCTTTAAGAGTGTTTCAGAATTTTTATATTTCCATCGTTGCAACTCGAAGATACCCCGTGTATCAGAGATACTTACATTTTTAATTTTAATTTTTCAGATTCTCGTGTCCTTTGAAGAAGTCTCATTAAATCCTTAGGGCCGGCCCGAATCTCCCAACCTTCAATCCGAATCTTTTTAAAGGTGTTTCCGTCGGAAGTTTTAGATTTCCGTCATTCCAATTTTGCGATCCCTATTTTCTCAGTGACTACATAAAATTGTTGAAAATCTAAACTCTTAACTGTCGAAATTACTACATCCTCGTATCGTCTTCAAACGTTACCGATATTCGTTGTACACTTTAAACTAGCGCAATTAATTCTCATAAAATGAAGATAACGTCCCGTTTTCCTTCCCTTCATCCTCGGAGGATGCTTCAGCAATCAGAATCGCACTTGAAAGACAAACGCGATGATTCGCTTTTTTAACCGATTGTACAAAACGAAGGCACTCACCCACTTTATGTCGCAGTACGCGCGTTTACGAAGGAGGGGAAAGAAGATCGGCGTGAGAATCGCGCCGATTGATAACAGTTGATACAGTTTGATGCCGTCACCTGTTTTCATAACACCCGCTCAGGCAGAGAAATTCAAACTGTATCGAGTACTCTCAGACCACGATGGTCGAGATCCGCTCGCTTTCCAGTTCGACGCTCGCGCGGCAAAATTGTAATAATTTCTCACTGTAGTGATACAACGTTGTAAATAACAATAAATGATGATGGTGTGGCCATGGGTATGTATAACAACGTTCTCCCTTCTTAACAAAAGACTCTGTGTGTCTTTTTTTTTTTAATGTGCCGCTTGCTCGCATGCCCTCGCACTCGTTTTTGTATTCTATTACGTTAATCAAAATCAATGTGGATCACTAGATCGTTAAAGACTCCTCGTTGGATCTTCGTTGTAGGACTTGTTGATTTCTTTTTTACAAGACTCGAGAGTTCGAAAGAGTGTACTTACGATATTTCGTACGTTCGAGTTCTTTAATATGGAACACTTAACTTTGCAAACAATTTAAAATTAATTAAGGTTTCTTAAGATGTGCAAACGAAGGCATGTTTAATCTTCTAGTCTTCTAAATTTTTAAGTGTCTCGGTATCAATATTTCAGAGATTTATTATCTCAAGAATTGATCGATTCGGGAATTAATTTTTGTAAACTGAGGAAAATTTTTAAAGTTTCCAAAATTCTAAAAAGAAGTCAGGTATAAATTTTGAAGATTATGATGTCGAGGAGATTTCAGAACTATAATAAGAACCAACGAAACTTCTTTCAACGATCTGACAGCTTGGCTTGTGTCGTGCTTTACTTTAAAACAACTGGTTCCCATTTCGCACGATGCGAACAATTAGGTTAACTCGGTCAATTTCTAATCTGCCGATTAGAAAAATAAAACTGGAAGTCAGATAAGTCTAGGCAACGTCGATTGCTAATATGACTCGATTGTTTGTCTGTTTTCGAAGATTTTTACAGCCTGTATTAAGAACCGCTGAACGAAATAATTATGGCTTATGTGAATTTCTTTCAGATTATTCAATAAATAGGAATTGCCACGTATCTTTTTCTAATATTTACCTAATAAGTTCGCTGTTTAAAAATTCTCAGTGACGGCACGATTAGTTATAATCACGGGAATTTCAAACATTTTATCGTTTTTCTATTTGTATCTTAATTTATTTTGTTTTAGATATGTATAAGTTTTTAATTTAAACTTATCTCAGAGATATTTATTTCTTACATACTTAATCATAGACAAATTCTAATCATTTTAGTAATTATATCTGGAAATGTATAAAATGGTTTGACTCGCAACCAATTACCACCTGGCGAATAATTAACTTCTGTTATCATCAATTTCGTTATATTGTTATCACTTGCGTCCTGGCAATTCCCATTTAGCCCGGCAACTTGACGAACTTGAGATATCTCAGCGCAATAAACTGTTTAATGGTTTTTCGCACTGCTTCGCTGAAACTGCATTCTACAATCTTATCTTTAAACGCGATTTCATGATTTAAGATAAAACGTTAAAAGAAACCTTGCAGTTAAGGTAATCTCACGAAGAGATAAGAAAAGATATTAATAAAATCTGCAAACTTAAAATATATCAAGTCCTTCATAATTTTATAATGTTTTGTACAGTTAGCTATTGTCATTATGCGAGTAGTTGTTGTAGTTTCCATTGCGAAATTATAAAGTGATCTTCCAATTACACCGCGGGGTGTTTTCACTGAAATTATATATTTAATAATCGTCAGAAAATTATGAAGTCGAATATGACAAGTTCTGCCTGCTATACTTCTATTTATTTTGTCACAACGTCACGGCTTTGTGAAAGATCTTGAGGTATCATCGTCACACTTTTACTCGGCGATGATATCCGCTTTTGTGAATGTCGCACCATTGAGGGATATCTCAAGTTCACCCAAGGGAGCGAGGGTAACGAAAGAAAGCAGTGGGAGAGTCCGCATAAACAGAGACAGAGTGACGAGCTGGAGCATTGTGGTCATGTCTAGTGTGGCTAATGTGGTTGTGTCTTGTCTGTTGTGTCGTCAGCAAGAGCACGCGGGCTTGAACCCCACCGAGTCCATGACACGCGCGTTGATTAGCGATGATAATATCGCCCGCCAGTCCGCCCTTGGCCCTGTCCAACTGGGGTACGTACTCCCATTACTAGTTACTCCTTCCCCCGGTCGTGGTCCAGGTCCCAGGAATCCGAAGAGTTAAAGTGAGTCCAGGAATCGCGGGGCCGATTCTGCAAATAAAAATGATATTCGAGCACGTCTAAAGTGCGCGGTGAAATCACTTATCTTTACATTCCTTCTTTTCATCCTTAGATTAATATATATTTCAAAACAGAGCTCCCTCTATAAGGGAGCAAAATTATCTTTTTTAAGTTCTTTTTCTCATACGATCAACCACATTTTGATCGTTTTTTTCCCTAAATAAACTCTTATTGAATTTTGATTGTAGTTTGAAAAATGTTGGTCCTTTTTTTAAGGGATTGGAATTTTTTATACAATTCTAATATTTTTTAAAATTATCAAATCGTTTATTTGTAAGACAGCTTGAAAAATGATAAAGAAATTGTAAAAATCGATCCTTTCCAAGAAGAAGACACGTAAAAGATTAATAACGTAATTTTAGGAGAGCGTCTCAAAGATTTGGATGCTACTTGGCGTTGTGAATTAATGCTTCTTGCAAAAATTTAAGCTCTTTTTCTTGGTTTATTTCAAATCAAGGCTGCAAGTAGAATGAATCGAGTGAAAATCAAAGATTAAGAACTTTTTAGTTATTTTTTTTATTATTCGCTTGTAATCATTCAATCTGCAAGTAGACTGGTCTTTTAGATATTTGTAAGATATTAAAAATCAGTTTAGGAATCTCAAAACACATAGAAAACAAGCTTTTTTTAAGAGTTTCAAAATTGATTATATTTGGATTGTTTTTAAATTCACCTTCCTCCTTAACGCAGATAACAGAATCATGTTTAAGAAGCTTGGCGTTTCCACCTTTCGGAATATTTCTCTGAGAGATTTCGACACTCGGATAAAATAAAAATTGTCCTCTGCGAATTCGGATTTTTGCGACATTGAAAGTTTGGGTTCTTGGAATTTTTTAACGCTTTGGATACTTGGCATCTCATTACCTCGATATTTTATAGCCCCTTAGAAGCCTAGATTTTTGGAACTGTAAATTTTCAGTATTTTGGATCCTTAGAGGTTTGAGAGTAACTGGATCAATTAACACTTTGAGTATAATCAAGTGCTTTTTATCACACGAATATTCTACGCAATGTTAAACGAGACACAGATAATTCTGATCGAAGATCAAAGATTCCCAGCGTATCCGAACCTTTAAGGATATAAAGATCCCAAGATTCAGAAGAAAAATGCATTAAAACGGTGTTAAAAAGAATATAAGGGCTTGACGCAAACTTATACACAAGAGCTTTATTAGGTCGTTGTATATGCGATATCTATATTTTCTTGATCTGAAATAACTATATTAGAAAATTTATATATATTTTTTAAGAATAATTTTAATTGCCTTTATTGTGCGAAAAAAAATGGAGCGCTAATTCTCTCCCTCTTTCCATATACAACAACCTGATAAAAATGTATTGACGAGCAAGTTATCCCATGGCATTTGGCATTTAATTATGATCCGGCGTATGCGCATATATCCGATTTGTTCCTGTGACACACGTATGCTGTTTGTTTGGAGTTTGTCGTTCAAAGAGTGTCCCAAGGATCCATAGGATAGTTGACAGAAGGTTGCTCTGAGGTACGTAGAACGAAAGAGAGAAAAGGAGAGAGAAAGAGAGAGAGAGAAGGACCATGGCTACAGAAATCATCATTTCCCAAATTGGCTAGCAATACCACGGAAAATCCGCACCAAGTCGTTGATCGATACAGATTGAAGGCTTCGCTGTACCGCCTTCGTAACTATCATCATCACGACGCTTCGTTTTCAACCACCGCAAGAGAACAATTGACCTCCTCCCCCCCCCCCCCCCATAAATCGTGATCGTGGCGAGTTTCACGCAGTTTTGCGTTTTTAGTGCACATACCTGCCGTTAGACACCCTGACATACCTTGATCTCCCAATCTATTGTTATCTCTCGCACTAATATCGCCATTTTCTGTCTCGCCGCGCGAACAGCTTCGTCGCGGGAGTCATCCTGAGGGAACGCATCCCCGCGTTCGAGCGCATGCTGTGGCGTGCGTGCCGTGGAAATGTCTTTCTGCGTCAGGCGGAGATTGAGACCCCTCTGGAGGATCCTTCGACGGTGAGTAGTCGTATCGCTTCAGCCTAAAACGAAGAAGTCAAGGATGAGGTGTTGCGTCTAAATAGATCGCAATTTACGTTTTAATTTAAAAAAAATCCAGTACTAATTTGGAATTTATGGATTCAGGGGGACCAGGTGTACAAGTCGGTCTTCATCATTTTCTTCCAAGGCGATCAGCTGAAGACTCGCGTGAAGAAGATCTGCGAAGGCTTCAGGGCAACCTTGTACCCCTGCCCGGAAGCGCCAGCTGACCGCAGGGAAATGGCCATGGGTGTTATGACTCGCATCGAGGATTTGAACACTGTGAGAATTTGTTTTTATTTCTATCAATTTTATTATAAATGCGTAAGGCTCTGACTTGTTAATAGCAAAACCGAAGAAATAAGAGCTAAGAGCCGTGACAGGGTTTTAGTGCCTAAATAATGTTATTATAAATTTATTGCGAAAAAATTACTTGGCTGAAGTAATATTTTTGTGCAATAAATTTATAATAAAATTATTTAGATACTAACACCCTCTTAGCTCTCTTATTCCTTCGGCCAATGTTATTAATTTTTTAGTTGAACAGATTATCGTTCGAGTTTTTGAAACAATTCATCTCAATATTCTTTGACTCTTCAAATGAACTTTCTATTAACCAATGCACGGGATGAAAATTTGGATCGAATTCGCGACTCGCTGAGTCGACCTCTCTCTCATACGTCACCATTATATTAATTTTATTATTAGTAGTATTATTGAATATCCTTAATATTGATGCACTAACAGAGCTTCTTCCAAGTTCGATTTGTTGAACAAATGTTAATGACACGATCTTGATTTCCAGGTCTTGGGACAGACGCAGGACCATCGTCATCGTGTCCTCGTGGCCGCCGCGAAGAACATCAAGAACTGGTTCATCAAGGTCCGCAAGATCAAGGCGATCTATCATACCCTGAATCTTTTCAACTTGGATGTCACTCAGAAGTGTCTGATCGCCGAATGCTGGGTGCCTGTCCTGGACATCGAGACTATCCAATTGGCGTTAAGACGTGGGACGGTAATCAATAAACACTGTTTCATAATGTTCCTTCACTGTTTCAATTTAGTATCGCGAAGTGAAAACTGACGATCCTTTCTATCATCTCCAGGAACGCAGCGGGAGTTCTGTTCCTCCTATTCTGAACCGCATGGAGACGTTTGAGGATCCACCGACGTACAATCGAACGAACAAGTTCACGAAAGGATTTCAGGTGCTGATCGACGCTTATGGGGTCGCGTCTTATCGCGAGATGAACCCCGCACCCTACACCATCATTACTTTCCCGTTTCTGTTCGCGATAATGTTCGGTGACTCTGGCCACGGCCTCATCATGTTCCTGTTCGGTGGCTGGATGGTGCTGAAGGAGAAGCCACTGGCGGCTAAGAAGAGCGACAACGAAATCTGGAATATTTTCTTCGGCGGCCGATATATTATCTTTCTAATGGGCATGTTCTCTATGTACACCGGTTTAATTTACAATGACATATTCTCCAAGTCGCTCAACATCTTCGGCTCGAACTGGGTGACAAACTACAACACCAATTTCGTCCGGCAAAACAAAGAGATGACGTTGGATCCGAATTCGACAGATTATGTCGATTATCCGTATCCGTTCGGCATGGATCCGGTGTGGCAGCTGGCGGACAATAAGATCATCTTTCAAAATTCGTACAAGATGAAAATCTCCATCATCTTCGGCGTGCTGCACATGTTGTTCGGCGTGATGGTGGGACTGTGGAATCACATGTACTTCAAGAAGCGCATGAACATTACCTGCGAATTCGTGCCGCAGATAATCTTCCTCTGCGTGCTGTTTCTCTACATGGTATTTCTCATGTTTTTGAAATGGATCAAATACGGCCCGAAGAACAACGAGTTCGAAGGTCCTGGCTGCGCACCTTCGGTCCTCATCACCTTCATCAACATGGTCCTCTTCAAGCCTGCCGTCAAAATTGGCAAATGTGACCCCTACATGTACGGCGGTCAGGACGGCTTCCAACACTTTCTGGTTGTCGTGGCCCTGCTCTGCGTACCGTGGATGCTGCTGGCGAAGCCGGTCTTGATGATTCGCAACCGTAGAAAGCAGCACTACCAGCTCAACAACCACGGTGCTGAGAACGGCGACGTGGAGGCCACTATGGGGGCTCTACAGCAGAGCGGAAATGTTACTCAGAGTGCTGGCGGTCACAAGGAGGAAGAGGAAGACATGGTGGAGGTGTTTATCCACCAGGGCATCCACACCATCGAGTACGTTCTCGGCAGTGTGTCGCATACCGCTTCCTACTTGCGTCTCTGGGCCTTGTCTCTGGCCCATGCCCAGTTGTCCGAGGTGCTGTGGAACATGGTGATGAGAAACGGTCTAGCGAGGGAGGGCTGGGACGGAGGTATTGTCCTCTACGCCGTCTTCGCCTTTTGGGCGGTGCTCACCGTAGGCATCCTTGTACTCATGGAGGGCCTCTCTGCGTTTTTGCACACGCTTCGTTTACATTGGTAAGATCCTATTCTAAGTCTCTCATATCTTTTGATTTCTCTTTTACCCCCTTAATTTTTCACATATCATGTGAATAAATTAAATATTTTATTTGTGTATAAATCTGTGTATATATAATTGACAAATTTGTATTAGTGCTGTAAATTCATTTATAATGTTTATTGAGAAACATCTACATTATTTCTAACTCTCGCTTTTTGCGTTCTTCAGGGTGGAATTTCAGAGTAAATTCTACTCTGGTTTGGGCTACAGCTTCCAGCCGTTCTCCTTTGAAATCATCCTCGATGCTGCACAGGCCACTACCGAGGATTAAAATAATTAATCGTCGTTAATTAATAACTGGTCTTGACTATTATTAGTACGAGCGCGAGGACGACGTGAATTCAATAGCTGCTCGTTCGAACAAGTCAGTTATGAATAGTCAATGAACGAGGTGTCCCTTTATGAAAAGTATGTACGTAGAGTATCGATTATAATAATCGATCCAAGTACGGAAATTATTTCCTTCTCATCTTGTGTAGTCTTCTAATTATAAACAAAACGTTGAACAAATCGCAAGATTCGTAGCGCACAAGATCATGACAGAGAAAATATATTCTCGCGATATTATGAGTTTCTTCCCTGGTTGATTAGATAACAATCGAATTTAGGATCTAAAGTCCTTTCTCCCTAAATGTCGACCCGTACCCTTTCTCGTCCACCGTCGTCTAATATTAGAAATCTTGCAACTTTCAAAACCTTTATGCGAGCAGTGCCGAATTCTCGGTGCACGCTGTAGAGCCTGTAGATCTGAAAACAATTGTATGTCGTGTCGACGACCAATTGATGTTCCATATATCTGTACGTAATAAAAAAACAATGTGGCATGTTGAAACGTGTTTGATGAAAACTCGCAGGTAGCGCTATGCTTTTACATAGTGTACTCAACAGGATGACTCGTATGCAACTCATCGAGATCATTTTCCCCTTAGAATCCGAAATACATAATAAGATCTTCAATCCTTCGTCTGCCTGTCTCTTCTAGCGCGAAATTCAATAATTTGATTTTGAGTCTTTTGGGACATTCATGGAGAGTCGTTATTAATCTTCGAAGACTTACAAAGCGAACGTTAGGATTAAATCAAACTAAAACTAAATTAAATTAAACTATGCCCGATCAAGAGGCAAACTGTGATAATTGCATCTTTTGGGGACGCTCATTATGGGAAAGTCATTATGGTTCAAAGATTTGTAGGAAAATTGGAACAAAAGTGTTCTATAAGTTTTTTTGCGCCAACTAATTTTAAATCATATAAGTTATTAAAACAAGACGGCAACTGATTGAAAATAAATTGTATGATTTTTTAGTAAAAAAAACTTATAGCGTAATACATATAAATATGTAGCATATTTTATAATTACATATTTATATAGCATAAATTATACCAAATAAATATAATGTGAACTATGAATTTCGACAAAATTCTAATCCTCAAAGTATCTGAAATTCTAAACGTCTTATCACAAAATTTATATATTAAACTCAAGCCAGATAATAAAAAGAACGCTGGTAATTCTGGTAACACAATCTGACATTTCAGATACGACCCGCAGAAGTGCGCAAGAAACAGCCCAAAATTGCGACAGAAGTGCATAATATCTGGTATTGACAAGTACTTACTATTGCAGCAGTTTGCTGTAAGAAGCTACTGTAAAATTTTATATTGGATGAAGTAAAAAGTTCTGAGCGTTTTTTCGCTTTATTTCGACGATGAATTAACATAGTGTAGCTTTAGTTAACATAGCATTAACATAGCGATTGAAGAAGTCCTCGTCCCTATTGGTAAAAAACTTTACCAGCTCGTTTTCACAAGCCTCTCTTGAGGCCAGTTTTGTACCATCAAGAAAATTTTGCAAATGCTTGAAAAGGTGATAATCGCTTGGTGCCCAGGTCTGGACTGGACAGAATTCAACAATTCTGTTGCACTACGATGAGTGCAAGTTTCTGCCAACAGAAAGATAGTCAAAGCTTGGAAATGGAAAGCGAATGATTTTTCGTATACAGTTTTACAGCAGAATTGCAATGGAAATGTTACCAGATAAAACAAGAGTGGAAAAAGTTCCCGTAACTTCTTTGACTCGAGTTACGGTGACGAGTTCTGCTGCCAACAGCAAATTATGACAAAACTCGTGGCGGTTCCCGAATCTCTCCCGTCACCCGAAACGATTCGGATGAGCCTCGCACACTTGTCGCCAGCCACGACACCTTACCCCTTCCAGCGCGGGCCTTCCCACCCGGTTCGACGATATTCTTATCAGCCTGGACAGACTTCGATTGACGCACGCGTCCCACGGTCGCCCCACCGCGACTGCTCCAGTCGTTCATCGGCGCCCGAACGAAGCGGTGGTCTCTGCGTCCCCACGGTCGGTCCTCAACTTCGCCACCTCGCCCGCGTCGAGTCCTCGAGAACAACACCATGGCATCCGTGTGCATCATCGGCTCCGGCAACTGGTGAGTGCGGGAGGTGGTGGGACCTCGGCGAGAGTCGTCGCCAGGAGGAACGTCGACGTCTGGGCGACGGTGATCGATTCGCACGTGCGATGCCCGTCGCGCACGTTTCAGGCGCGTTGCACGCGTACTTACCAAGTTACCACGCGCCCACCCCGATCCCGTCGCCCTCGGCCTCTGTATCGACGGATCGGTTGCGCGCAGCCGGGGTCCATTCCGATCGTTAATCACGTGCCCGAGCGGGAAAACCGCCGCGCTGGTGCGGTCTGGTTTCGCGTGCGCGCGTGCTCGGCAAGTTAATTAAACGTCATGGTCGGAGGAGCGTAGTAGGCGAGATGGGATGAGGCATCGCGAGAGATAAACATTAACGCTAGAACCAGTCGAAATGACTTGTTAAAGTAAAATCTTTGTAAACGTCGCACAAACGTAAAAATGGAGCATTTTTATTAGGTTTTTCAATTGGTTCGCAATACAAGTGGTTCAACTTTTCCCTTTGTTCAAAGATGCACGATAATTATTGTACAGACGACAGTCCCCTATTATGAGACAGGGCTCCTAATATGAGATAGAGCGGAGTTTCTGCTGAATCAATAGGCATCATCTGTTGGTTCCACCATGAATTTATTGTCTAAAGATAACTAAGTTAGAACTATTACGTAATACCAATTTTAACTCGTAGTATTAACTTCTAGCATGCCTCGCGGCTTCGCCCGCGGTCTCGCACGCGCGTGACTTTTGCTCTTCATTAATTTTTCCCCTTCGTCTTGTTTTTACTTCCTTTTCTTTCTTCTAAAACTTCATTCTGCTCTCTCAGGTTTTCTTGAAATATCTTTTTGTTTCTTCTTCTCCAGGAGAAATTATTAGCTTCTTCCTTTTTCTTCGTCCCTTCCTGCTCTCACGCCTTGTTTGCGAGTCTATTCAATTCCTTCTGGCTTATTTCTCCTTTCTTTTTTGTTTTGTATTTCGCATTCCTTTCTTCTCCTTTTCTTTACCGACATTTACTTTGCCTTTTCAATTTTTCTTGAAATATATTCTTCGCTTTTTCTTCTCGAGGAGAAATTACTAGTTTCTTCCTTTTCCTTCGTCCCTTCCTGCTCTCACGCCTTGTTTGTGAGTCTATTCAATTCTTTCTAGCTTATTTCTCCTTTCTTTTTGTCTTGTGTTTCGTATTTCTTTCTCTCCTTTTCTTTACCGGCATTTGTGTTATTCAAAGTGCTACGTGGAGATTGTCCGGAAATAATCAAAATTTCGGCAGAAGCTGAAAAACCGCGTCTTCCACAACTGTTTCTTGCCATTGCTCATCATTTTCTAATTTTGCGGGAATATTCCGATAATAGTCCGAGAACTTTCCGGAATTACACTATAACTTATTAAAATAGTGGAGACTAATCGTCAGTAGTTCCAGTATCAGTTGGGCAAAATCCAGACACGAGTGTCGAAGGTCGAAGCTCGGCCGACGTGCACAGAGCGTTCAGTTTTGCTTATCTCGCGTGCAACTGCTTCGAAAGTTAATTATCGCGCGGAAAGTTAATTGCAAAATGCTAATTGCAACTGTGAATTTGCAGGGGCTCGGCCATCGCCAAGATAGTCGGCGCGAATGCGAAAAACCAGAGCATTTTCGCCGACCGGGTCACCATGTACGTTTACGAGGAGATGATCGATGGGAAGAAGCTGACGGAGATCATCAACCAGACGCACGAGAACGTCAAGTATCTTCCAGGGCACAAGATACCCGAGAACGTGGTAAGACGACACTCCAACGTTGCCCGCCCACGCGGTGGGTCTTGCGTGTCTCTCCTCGTCTGTACCGTGATAAAATTTTCGTTATCACAAGCGTACGATAAAATATTGTGTAATAAGTAATTTTTCCTAGCACTTTGTACTTTATATCGCGTCGTTATTATTACTGCCTTGCTGTTTATGCCACTTTTTACTGGACGATGCTTTTTTTTAAAACGAATTTTGATAACGCCAGTTGTCAGTGACTGCAACCACTCAGATAACAGTTTACGCTGAAAAGACGCCATAAAGATAACTTTAAGGCCTGGTCTACAATAAGTTGTTAGATGTTAGTCAGAAGCCAAAACTATGTGCCAATCCTTCAGTCGTAATGGCTTCCGGGTGGCTGCCGCGTCCGTTTGCAGTGTGGTGCAGACGTTTCGCAAACATTGCAGCTTGCATCATCAGGGCTGGGAGACTCTGATACTGAGCTTGAGTTGTGTCAATCCTTCTTCTACATCTTTTAGACGTACATGTCTAAGGCCCGTATTCCGAAGCCTCTTTTGTCAGTAAAAACTCTCTAAAGGCCCGTGTCCACGATGTTAGAACTTGGTCCAAGTTCCGAGAAATGAGTAGCCAATCAACTTACAGCTTTTATAGAATAGTTGTAAGTTGATTGGCTACACATTTCTCGAAGCTAGAACTTGGACCAAGTTCTAGCATCGTGGGCCTTAAGAGCTTCTAAAAGTGGCTAATAAGCCTTCTGATTGGCAACAAGCCACTTTTAGAGGCGCTTTTATCGATAAAAAAGGATTTAGAGTACGGGCCTAAGTGACAACTCAATGCCATCTTAAAGATGTCTTTCAGACATGCATGCTATCTGGGCAGCCATATTTAAAATATTAGATAGACTATGATCAGATTACATTAGATTATATGCCACTGTAATGTAAATTACATTTATGTACATTGAAATTGCATACAATCTAATGTAACCTGATGACATTCTACCTATTATTTTAAACAGTGGAAACGTCTCCTCATTCTTCACATTTTCAATTTTGCTGATACTTCATTTATCACACGGCGACTTTCTCGGATGCACTGACAGATTATCGGGAGAAAGAGCCTCTAGAAATTTTCTATCTTGTTATAAAAATTAGTCGTATGGCGAATGAGGTAGTGTCCAATAAGCAAACGCACCAAGCTCGTGTTCCGCCGGCAGAGTCCGCCGATATTATCTGACAGCAGATTGCCAACGGAATCCTGAATGGAATCCGTCTTCTCGTAATTCAAGTGAGACGTATCATTTACGAAGTTACGAAATGGCAAGTGAATTTGCCGTAACATTCCGTTGGCAGATTTCGTTATATTTCCGCTGGCATTCTGCCGGCGAAATTTACAGCGGGCACTTTGCAAAATCTATTTTCGACTCTCTGGACACTTATCAGTTATCGTCCAAGACTCTCCTAGATTTTTTTCTTTTGCAATTTTGCCACCGTCGTGTTCCTTGGCACACTTTAAATCCCTTAAACTGTGCCCCCTAAGGACGTTGAATCATCTCGTCGCCGCATCTCCATCGGTTTCCACTTTTTTGTGATTCTAGATCTCGCATAGTGGATCTCTTCTCTTTAACGGTGAAGTCCTCCTTTAACCAGAGATACTGCATACGAAAAATTTCAAGTTCAAAGTCGCTGGGAGTCGTTGTTCCCCGTAGATGCCTGACATCTGTTCGCTCGAAATCGCTGGCGTGCCCAATGAGAAGGAAAACAGATAAACGACCGGATTGAGCGCGACTGTCATTATCATATTGCGGACGCACGTTCGCCGATTCTGAACTTTAATCGTCGTACTTTGACCGCGATCAAGGTGCTTGGTATTGATTTACCGCGCGTCTTCGTTCGCATTTTTGCAATCGCAAGAAAGCTCTACCAACTCTTTTTGCCATTCGTCAAAATCTTGTACTTCTTTTTTCTTCAGCTTCCATTTCTGCTAATATCTTCTCCCTTTGAAGAGTCGTTACGTTCAGCTTTGTTTGATAGAGCTAATCAGATTAAATTGTAATACGATTCGCGCTGTGGGATTTTATGAAACTGCGCCCTTGGCTATAATCTCTCGTGAGAATATCCTTCGCTCCCCCCTCCGCGTAAGAACCGCTGAACATTTACAAAGCCGGCTAAGAATAACACGTTCTTCATGAAATATTCATCCTCCGAAGACACGATCCTATAGACGCATTCGACTAAGCGAGAACGCGTTGAAACGAGGGCGGCGAAGGGATTAGCTTGGAATACATTTTTATCTGGCTTGATTGGAAAAGCATGTAAAGGGCGTTCCGTTATCTCGGCTACTTCGGAGTCCATTCCTGTTGTTTCTCGGCTGACCGTGACAGACGAAATTGACGTAAATTTGAAGACTGAGAACTTTGTGCGAGACAGCGATTTTATTTGATCCAATTTGTTATTAAACTTAATCTTTGCTTAATTTTATTAGACTCAAGAAGAAAACACATGCGTTCGGACGTGCGTGCGAACAGGAGAATGACGATAATGGGATGAGAATAAACGGCTGATGACTTTACCGGATTGAAACAGAGTTACATCAGCGATTACATGGCGTTATATTATTACGTCGATTTTGTGTCACTCGGTTATATTATATCACCGATATCACTTTCTTTCGAAATTCTTACGGTATATATAAGACGAAAACAAGCTATAAAGATTACTTGCCTTTTTAAAACCGGTTTCTCATTAGCTGTGCGCGGCTTTCACGTCTCGTACGTCTGAGGAAACCGGGATAGATATTCAGAAGTCCGAAGTTCAGAGGCAGAAGGAAAACAACATTCTCAAGCCGAGAACCGCAAAGCGAGGTGTCTAAGAATTTGGAATACATTGGAAAGTCGCGGGAATACAAAGTTCTGGATATTTTTATCAAGGATCGAGAGTTCAACGTTAAAAAAATCCACCTGCACAAGACTCTCCTTTTATAAGGGAGAAACATTATTTTATTTCACGAAATTGCAAATATGAAGTTCTTCTCGTTTTATTAGAATCGTTCGTGGCGCCTCCTTGATTTTTAACATTGCGCATCGCTGCTGTTTATCGACGACTTTGTCAATCTATTTCTCTCCTAGCTCACTTCCAATCGTTTATTACTCGGACACTACAAGCTAACGTTCTAATTCTCGGACATCCAAGTCGTTTATAGAATTTACGATGAAAATTCTCTTTCCGGTATTTCTTTGTGTCATACTGATTCGATGGAGTGGTATTCAAGGACGCGTTATTTTCCACGTGTAACTGTTTTTGCTTATCATCGAGGCGCAGAAAACGTCGCGCCGATGAATTGCGACGGTTCTTTTGCGATATCATTTTATATTGTTTTATTGTCTGTCCTGATTGTAAATTTTGCCTTCCCGATCATCAGCAACTTTCTTGCACTTTTCGATATTCTTCTAAAATTCCAGAAGCTTTCCCTTTTTCTCCTTTCTGGAGGAGTCTATTTACGTCTTTTTGAGGGATTCTTGACTCCTTTTTTTGTCCAAACCAAGTCAGTTGCCCCTTTTTCCATATCCTTCAAGTTCCAGAGTACTAGAGCAAATTTATACGAACTCAAAGCGAATTTTCGCTTTGACTTATTTGTATTCTCACGCCGAGAGTCAGTCACTTAAGCTATCGTCACTTCGATTCGTTCCAGATTGCGGTTCCGGACGTGGTGGAGGCTGCGAAAGACGCAGATATACTTATATTCGTGGTGCCGCATCAGTTCATCCAGAGGATATGCAACAGCCTGCAGGGAAAAATCAAACCCACCGCCGTCGGGCTGTCGTTGATCAAGGTTCCGCTCTCCAACATATATTTTCTCTCGAGAATATTGCGCGTCTCTTTCAAGTAGCAGACCCGTTGGTCTACGATTGTTACATATTCGGAATATCCTTTGCAGGGTTTCGACAAGAAGGAGGGTGGCGGCATCGAGCTGATATCTCACATTATTTCGAGACAACTACATATCCCAATCTCCGTCCTGATGGGCGCTAATTTGGCTTCCGAGGTGGCTGACGAGATGTTCTGCGAGACCACCATTGGTAAAGGAGGAATTAAAATCCCGATCTTATCAGTTTAATCGCGATAATTTAATCAAGCAACATCTCACCTCTCAAAAAGATATTATTACGTTAGATAATGTTACCTTTGCGGCGATAAGAAATGTACGATGTTTTGCCTTAGTACCGTTCTTTCTTATGAAAATGCATCGCGTAATGAGTTTAATTGGCAAAAAGCATTTTGCTGATTTTATCTTGTATTTTATTGATCCGATTCTCGTATCGATCTTATTCTACTTCGCGCTTCATTGACATTAGTGATTCATAGCTCTCGAACGTGAGGCAAGGTTTGATGCATTTCTCAATTAAAGAGCTCGCTCGTACCGTTCTAAATCAATATTTCCAGAAAGTGGAGTTCGTAAAGCGCGTTATCAAGCTTGTGGAAAGTTTGAATTGCGTAGCTTTAGGGTAGTTTACTGATGAAATAAGCTCTGCAATTTAGATTGGAATTTGCAGGCTGCAAGGACAAAAAGATGGCGCCGATACTTCGCAACATAATTCAAACGTCGTACTTCAGGGTAGTAGTCGTCGAGGATGTGGATTCTGTGGAGTGTTGCGGGGCGCTGAAGGTGAGGATGACTATTTTTTACAATCTTATCGATCTAATTTTATTTATATTAAATTTAATTTCAAGAAGCAACCCTTTTTATCCCTTTCTGGTTTTAGTAAAATTTCGATAATATGTCATATATTTATAATAACGTTTCATAGAATATAGTTGCCTGCGGCGCTGGTTTCGTCGACGGCCTGGGTCTGGGCGACAATACGAAGGCCGCGGTGATCAGACTGGGCCTTATGGAGATGATTAAGTTTGTCGATGTGTTCTTCCCGGGCGGGAAATTGTCGACCTTCTTCGAGAGCTGCGGAGTGGCCGATCTGATCACGACGTGCTACGGTGGGCGCAATAGGAAGGTCTCGGAGGCCTTCGTCAAAACTGGCAAGGTCAGTAATGCAGGATGTGTTGGATGGACATCCCTATCTCTGTCTTGCATTCTGACTAATTCTGGCGGAATTTTTAGATTGCTTAGATCATTAAAAGATTTTTAACGTCCGTTATTGAAGTTTTCAAGAATACAATATTCCAACGACTGAATATACTGTATTCATATGTATGACTTTGAATTATTTTATAAGTTATTGCGTTGTACTGCATGAATAAATATGATTTGCAGACGATCGAGAAGTTGGAGAAGGAGATGCTGAACGGACAGAAGCTGCAGGGTCCGTTCACCGCCGAAGAAGTCAATTATATGCTGAAATTGAAGAACATGGAATATAGGTTCCCATTATTCACGGCAATTCATCGGATTTGCGTTGGTGAGCTAAAAGCGACGGACTTAGTCGACTGCATACGCAGCCATCCGGAACACATGTAAGCTCATAATTGTTATCATAGCATTTTGAAAGTGGTTCACTAACGTGATAGGGACAATTAGCCCGCCTAGATCTATGGATCCTTTATTACTGAGAATTTAATTAATCTGACTTCTAAACGGTCCAAAATCCTACAGATCGATAAAAAAAATGTACTTAAATTGCTTAGAGTTTCGAGCACTCAGCGTTCTGCGATGCCACGCAGAATTATTTTCAAGCACCATAAAGTGGAACTCACTGATAAGATAACTTTAGCACAGACTCGATAACGCAATGTGAAACCCGTATTAATCTTGAATCAAGTCTGATTATAATTCTGATTGCAAAATTTTATTACAAATCTTACATTGCTCGAAGTTTCAATGGTTCTTAGATGTTATGAATCTGTAGTCTCAAAGATTTAAAGGGCTCTAAATTTTATATAATCAGGCAATTTTCAGATACACGTAAACGCAAGATTTTATAAATTTCAAATTTCATGGATTTATAATTCAATGGTTTTGCGATTTAAAATTTTTATGAAATTTTCACTCGTTTTTACCGCAAATTTTGACTTTGTGATTCCATGACTTGTACATCGGTTTCTTACGGATCCAAGGGCTCTAAAAAATTATAAGTTCAAAAAGCTCGACTAATTTAGCCAATAAAATTCCCGTATCGCGTTGAACGCGATCGATAAATAACTTGTTACATTTTGCAATGTGAATATATATGTATACATATATATTTTATCGCGACAGAGATTTTATTCAATATTTTGACCGAATAGATGAATTAGATCTATAGATCCTCCAATTGTTGATTGTTGTATGCGTTGCCAACGAATGAATTCCGTTATGTAAACCGAAAGAGAGAGAGAGAGAGAGAAAGAGAGAAAGAGAGAGAGAACAAATATAATTACTTGTTTGTTGATAAAAAAATAAGACTTAGCTCTTCTGTCCCTCGTTTTCCTGGAATCTTAAAGTCTCCTTTCGTTCATGCATGACCAAACGAGGTCCTGTTTGATTTTTTCCTAAAGAAATTGCATGTAAGGTATTGTTGAAGCATTTGGATGAGCTTCAGGAGTGATTTTAGCATAAATTAAAAAACAATAAAATGCATAAAGACATATGTGCACCTAATTATGTACACATACTATATGTGTTGCAAATGGACTCACTTGACAATTGTTTATATATTTTCTTAACATTCCATCAGTTAGCTAATGCGAAATCTTTTTTTTCGGGCTGACGATAAATATCGCGGGCTCGCTATGTCGGCCTGAAGGGGTTAATTCGCATTCGCTCCGTATTTAGGGACGAGGACTCGCCGTCGTCGATGACGCTCAAGTCGCCCAAGTGCCGTCTCTGAGGATGCCGAGCGTCGTTCCTCGAGGGAAGACTGGTCGCCATTGAAACGCCAACGTCTTAGATTGTACGAAAGCGTGCTGGTTCAGTGACATATTGTTTTTTCATTCAGTTGTCAAACCAAAATGAGACATTAGTCGTTAAGCTGGGGTTCAGTCCGGGATTCCTGTTACGTTGCTCACTACAGTTGCTAATAATTTACGTAATTCCAGTATTAACATAGTGACTGCTCATTAGGTTTTACATTTATTTCTGTATTACGATCGCAGAGACGTTATTGACAACTTAGAAAGTTCAATTTTATGCAAAAGCTTGAGAAAGTTTGAGTAGCAAGCAAGTGAGATGAGCGAGTTCAGGGGAGGTAAAGGGGAGACTTTGTAAGATGATCAATGTATTTAAACGATGTTCGATGCAACTGTGATAGTTTATAGACTTGCGAATCTGTAAACTGTGATAGTTTATAGATCATTAAACAATTCATCTCATTGTGATTACTCTCTCTTTCACGCATAGCAAAACTTCTCAAAGATTTCATTTCCCACTGTGTATATATGAGAATAATTTCTTCGAGAAATTTTTATAATAATTTCGGTGAATATCGATGAGATAATCAGGCGTTCCTGTATAAGGAATGGTTTCGCATAATGTTCCAAATAATGAATAATATAATGCGTTATTATTGTAAACGATATTAGATGTGTAATCGAGAAATATTTTAACAGAGATTTTAAGCAATTGGTAAACACTTGAACTTACGGTCTCTCTTTTTTCTCGACTCTCGTATATTCCTAATCTTCAAAGCTTCTTCTGTCCCCGAGTACAATACAAAAGTAAATTTGTAGACATTTTTTATTGACATATAAAATATCTTAAATATTTAATTGTATTCAATGGAGCGTGCTGATGTTTGCTCGCAGTTGGCGCAATTCCAGTATTAATATAGCAATCGCAGCTTTATTCCTTATTACTTTTTATGTATTACACTCGTAGAATGTTATCGAAAAGTTTTGTCCTCCGTCACAAGCTTGAAGAGTCAAGATTCGAAGAACATTGTGCTCTTTGTCGTCTGTTAAATCTATAAAATTCGACAGAAGTGCGCGCTGTCAAGGGTCAAGTTGAAATATGCGACCTTAACTCATTATCGCGATTATCAGCGGGTCGCTAATTTCGTCGTGGCGCTTCTTCGTCGTTGCAGCACTCGTTCTGGGCTGGCCCTAGTCCAGAGCTTGCGCGCAAGCCGCTAAGAAAATAATTCACGATCGCCGCTAAGGTCAGCCGTCAGCGGGCTTTTAAGTCAGTCGGTCAGTCGAGCCTCGCGATTGATCGGCCGTCGATCGGGATTATTATTTGTCATCAGGGGAAAAGTTAAAAGGGACGAGAGATGCCGGACGCGAAGAAAAGAGTATGCATCGTCGGCAGCGGCAATTGGTAATTTTTCTCTTGTGCCAAGGATAATTAAGTAGGAATTAGTTGCGTGCACGAGAGATCGTTTCTCCCCGCTTTCTCCTTTTACTTCCCCGTCTTGTGTTGATTTATTAGGCTGCATGTGCAGTCTAATATTCGTTGGAGTCTTTCCTTCAGAAATGAGAGCTGTGTATCTTCTTTAGGTAAGTTTATATAATCGTAAACTAATGTTGAATAATCGCTGGAAAATGATATAAGAAAGAAATCTGGAGAATCTTTTTATACTTAATGTCGAAAGATTATATTATATTCAGTAATTAATAAAATAATTAATATCCAATGAAACGGCACTATTAATTTTAATGTAACGAATTGAATAAATAATAATTATGTTATGACAATATAAAATATTATTTACAATTTTTAGTAAGTTTTTATAATGATAATAATGTAATAATATGAAGGAAAAGGATTACATACATATTCGTTTATATCGTGATACGTTAAAAGAGAAAGAAAGTACATATATTTCATCTCAGAATTAAATCTGATTTTAAAAATCAACAATAAGATAGATTATAATTTTATTTGATCTAGTCGCGGCGACAAACGCGCCACAGTGCAATTGTGCTGTCTGCTTATTGTTCCAAAATTAACTCAGCGCATCATCACGCAATTTCGAGGGCTCATAATGTGTAGTTACATCAATTTAATAAAGCTTTGCAATTATATATCATTTCATTTAATTTCAATATTTTAATCATAGTCGGTAACTATACAAATATTATATATTTGATTAATTATGTGTGCGCGTATTACATAAAAATCTATGAAACAAATAAGTATATAAATGTATGAACTAAGTGACTAATATAATTATTTGTGTATGTATATATTTCTTTAACTGTAATATTGTTTGTGTTATAATACATATTATATTATTATTAATTATTGTTAATCGACATATTTATTGTAGACAATGCATTATTTGTGCAAGAAATTCTTTTTATCACGGCAAATCATTTCAGGGGCTCGGCGATCGCAAAGATCGTCGGGGCGAATGCCATGAAGTACAACAACATATTTGAGACTCGAGTGACAATGTATGTATACGAGGAGATCATCAACAACGAGAAATTGACCAGCATAATCAACACCATTCACGAGAACGTCAAATATCTGCCCGGTCACAAAATTCCGGAAAATGTGGCAAGTATCTCGAATATATTATCCGTTTTATTCGCAATCGATATTTGGCGTCAAAGGTAATTCTTTTAGAATAGGCATATTTGCAGGCTTAATTAAATAATTCGTCGTAGTTATCGAGTGCAATTTTTATTAGAAAACGGTCTGCCGTGTTACAATCTTCCAATCTCGCTTTAAAGGTGCTGAAAGCTATTCAGACGAAGCGAGTGGAAACATAGCGAAAATGTTTTTATAATTAGTAATTAGTGGTAGTGCGGACGTAGACCTTTCCGGACGGCATGGATACACGATCGACTCCTCCTGGGAACAGTTTCGGGATATCCTCCTCCTTCACCGTCGGCAGGATCATCACTTTCTCACCAGGCTGCAATATCATTCGCATAATTACATCGGGGAACGAGATCTCATTTCGCCGTCGTTATTGAATTAAGTTGATGCCACTTATCGCCGCAATTGAATCGGATTGGTGCTATCGCAAACGGCACGCAACGAAAGAGGTAAAAATGAGACTCACCACCCAGTTGGCGGGAGTTGCTATTTCGGGCCTTCTGTCGACCAGCTGCAGCGAATCGATCGCACGCAATATTTCGCTGAAACGATAATAACGTTCATTAATGTAACAAACTTAAATAGCATATGTTCGGTATGCAAAATGTCTGGGACGTATCAGATGCGTAGCGTCCAGTCAACTCACTCGACGTTGCGTCCGGTGGAGGTCGGATATTGCATGGAGAGTCGCAGGCGATGGTCCGGACTGATGATGTACAGTGCTCGAACGGTCTGAGCGGTTTCCGGATCGTCCTTGCTCTCCTCGTCGATCATGTCCAGCTGCACGGCGAGCTTGCGGTCGGGATCGGCAACTATGGGATACGGGAAAGCGCCGGGGATGTCCAGGCAGTACGACTTGATGTCCTGCAACGATAGAAAGAAATTAGAAATTAGGACCGGACAATTGATTGCAAACGAAGACTAACGAGAATTAATTCGAAAATTGAGAGATAGAGAAATGAAAGTGCATAAGAATTCGGAGGATGAACGAATATAGGATTAAAAAATGCCTACGTTGACCCAGTCTACATGGTCCTTGAGCTTGTCGACGGAATGTGCCAGCAACTTGGTGTTGCGCTTTTTAAAGTGTGGCTGATGCACCGCGATGCGACCCAGTTCGGTGGTGCACACGGGGGTGAAGTCCGCAGGGTGAGAGAATATGACCACCCATCTGCAACGAATAAATGAACGTTAATCAGATCGGACAGATTAAAAAATTAATTATAATACGATTAAATTACATACATGATAATTATCACGCATACATAAATCATAAAACATCAAAAATATATTGAAATTAAGAATCTGTATATAAAGGAGGAAAACGTTTGTGTTACAAATAGAACATTAAATTTAAAACAAAACTTCCAAATCGAGCGATATGGAAACCGGTTATATCATTGTCTTTCTGATAAGTACCGTAGCTGGAGCGATTACGGCACTTGTCAACAGGATTCACTTGACTGGTATACTCGGTCAGCGTCCAAAGATAAGTGAAAACAGGATACGAGTGTAATTAATTCCACATGATTTTAGTATCAAATCTTTGG